ATTTGGAAGCCTCAAGCACTGCAGACCAGAAAAACAAACTAAACACATGTATATTCTGCATGGAAGGCTTTTTAACTCTTACGAGAAACCAGAAATGTCTTTTAGCATTTTAGCTGCTGCTGATTGCCTTTTGAGCTGCCAATCCTTGTTTGGGTTTTGAGTAGTCCCAAGGTCTCCTGTTCTCTGTGTACCCGTAGAGCTTCCGCAGGGCCACCCGCGCAGCTTCCTCCTCTGCCGCCAGCAGCGTCTCCCCAGGGCCTTCAGCCAACATCTTCTTGTCACTTGGGGAGAAGAAAGGAAAATTACAAACGTTTTCACCAGGAAATCATCAGCACTGCTGTGCACCATGAAGAAAATAGATTGTTTTTTTTCCCCCCAGTGTTCTGTGAATACTGAAGGTGATTTCTATTACACACAATCTGAACATTCCTGTTGGTCTTTCCTGCAAAGTGACTGCATATTCAACAATGGGAATTCAGATCAGGAATGGGTCCATTTCTTGGAATAACACCACTCTGTTCATTTAGGTTCCTAGCATATTATGGATTCTTTACAGCATTCAATTTGTTAACCCTGTTAAAAACATGCAAATTCCTTACTCTGGTTCCCTTAAACAGGAACTGAAACGTCTTTGTCTTGGCTCCTCCCCTGGTAAGGAAGCATTTTCAAACTGCTTCAAAAGGACTGATAGAGAGGCTCTCTCTGTTATGAAGCACCTGCTCAGCTCTGTTTAATCAACACCCGTGGGCACTGAATGGGAACAGCTCATGAAGGGACAGCAGGGATCCCAGAGGAAAAATAATCCAAGTTCCTTTCTCTTTATTAGAAGTGACATAAACCAAAGCGTGATAAATCAGAACAAATTAAGGCAGCCTTCCCAAGTGTTTATCTGCAGCTCATTCAGCAAAGCAACAGAGATGTGGGCTTTGTCCTGTCCCAGAGAGGTGATGTCACCCTGGGGCAAGAGACCTGCCAGTACCTGACACAAATGCACCAGGGACAACTGGCACTTCCTGAGTCTTCCCTGGACACAGACACTCCTCTTCTTGCCTAGTTTTCAGTGCCTGTGATTTCAAAATTAAAAACCTTCTCTGGCATATAAAATGAGACTCTCTTCAATCCCTTGATGACTCTACCCTTCCCAAAGCCCTGGATATGTGACCCCTCCACAGCCAGGCAGTTCTGATGTTCACAAAGCTCCTGTGACAGGTCACTCACAACACACACCCAGGCTCTCTGGTGCACCCCATTTAACCTCTGAAGCCCTTTAGTCAGAGACTGAGCTATGGCCAACACTCACAGAGCTGATTTTATATGGAACTCACTGTAAGGGTTCTCTTCTCTAACAATTTGACCGAAAAGCACATGAGTAGAAAAGTAAAAGATCATCTTCCCTCCTCCCCTCTTCCCCAGTTAAATCCATGCCATTTTAAATTAACATTGTACTAACCAGTACAACCCAACAAAGTACACTGGAAGAACTGTGCTGACTCCCAGCTGTCTGGTAATTCTTGGCTCTGGAGCAGAGATATTCCTCTTGGTCAGTTCTTCCACCAGTAAGCCCATAGGATTTACAACTTCCCAGATCTCAAACAGGTCCTTTCCGATCAGCTGGGGAATTAGGAAGTCCTAAACAAGAAGAATTTAGAAGTTACAATTAACAGCTTGAGCTTCTGGTGTCTCCCAATGAAAACACAGTTTGAAGAGGCATTACTACAATAGATAACAAACTGTGAAATGAACAAGGCAGATGCCTCAGTGCTCCATCCTAGTGGAGCAAAGCTGATGCACTGGGCAGCTCTGGTTCTGGTTTAGCCACTGACAGACGTGTGTCCGGGGTAAAAGGACTTCAACCTGTTTGGATTACTCTCCTGCCTGTAAACTCCTGCTTGCTCTTAAAGAGACCTCCAAATGGTCTTGTATGAGGAAGAAGATTTTAACAAACACTTCTCTGTTGCAAAACTAAGTTAACAGCACGACTGAAAAGACAACAGCTACTAAAACTACTTTGTTATACCGAATTCAACATCTTTAGGTGCTTGCATGCCTACACGCAAAACCTATAACCTCAGCCATTGTTTATATGAAACTTTTTTGTGTTTGTTTTTTTTTTTTTCTAATTTAAGATATATGTGATCTCACATGGAATAATTTCATTACCTGATAGTATAGTACATGGAATATAATGCTTTCCCTTAGCAAGTGTCAGCAAATATTAATATCACCGTTATAAATCAGAAGCGTATGCTTCAGCCTGCGCTTCTTAATGACAAAAAAAACCCCAACACAAAAACCCCAAAACCCCACCTGACCACCACCACCACCCAACAGATCTCATTATCAAATTCTCTTGTTACAGGTGCTGGCAATCTCCCCGGATCTCCTCTGGCCATCGAGGTACAAAACAAAGCTCCCTGGACGTACCCTGACAAAGATGCCCGTCCTCTCCGCCCCGCTGCTTTCCAGCAGGGCTCCTATCACCGCCAGGAACGTCCTCCGCAGCACTTGCGGCGGGGCGGGGAAGTCCCTGCAAAGCGCCAGGTCCTGCAGGGACAGGTTCCGAGCCACGAACGAGACGAGTTCCTGCCCGGTGAGGAAATTCACGAGCGCTTCCACGCCCTCGGCGGGTAAATCAGGGTAGGCGGCCTCGAAGCGCTGTGTGAGGTAGGAACGGGCGAAGCGCAGCCCCTGCTCGGCGAGGCCGGTGTTGTCCTGCAGGCTGAGGGGAACCGCGTCCTCGTCCACGCCGAGCTGCCGGCGCCGCTCCGCCTCGCTCTCCAGGTAGCAGCGATTGACGAACGCCGTCTTGAGCAGCTCCAGGGAGAAGTCCTCCTGCAGGCGGTGGCTCAAGGCCTGGATCTCGGCGTGGTAATCCCAGTTGGGCTGCTCGGACCTGCGGGAAGGGCACGGGCTCAGGGACGGGGCGAGCTACCCGCGAGCAGCGCCGCGCCCTCGGGCTGCTCGGCGGGGAACGAGAAACTGAACTGCGCCTGAACTGCACCAAACACGGCATTTAAACCCGCGTCGTGTCGGTTCCGCGTCACCCCCTGCCTGCCACGCTCAACCGGGGAGCCAAACCCATCCCTCTCCGAGACGGTGCCCAAACATTTCGGTTTTCCCGATTTCCGGGGCCGTGGCTGCATCCCTTCCCCGAGCGCCGCCCTCCCCCGCCCGGCCCTCACCGCCGCCGCGGCGGCTCCTGCAGCCGCTGCATCTCCAGGTACGCTCGGAGCCATCGCTTCTTCTCGGGGGGCGGCCCGGAGCCGAACGCGGCGCCCAGCGCGGTGCCCGGCACACCCCGCCCGGGCCCGGCCGGGGGCAGGAGCGGCCGCGCCGCCCGCAGGAGCAGCCGAGCGGCCATGGCGGGCAGGGCGGGGACGGGCAGGGACCGCCCCGGCACCGCCCCGCTGGTTCCGGGAGGAAGCGCTGCCCGCCGGGGAGCGGAACCGGCCCCGGGCACGGCCGGGGGACAGGGAGCAGCAGCGGGGCAATCCAGCGCCGGGGATCCCGCTCAGGCCCTCGGGGTGTCTCGGGGCGGGACCCTCAGGCCGGGCTACCTCGGGGCAGGAGAGCGCTGTGAGGAAGGAGCGGTCCCAGGGTGACAGAGGAGGAACTCGGGGTGGTGCCGGGGCAGCGGCGCTCCCCGAACGCTCCCCATGGGGAGGCGTTCCTTGAATCTCTCCGAGTGCCATTCCCACGTGCAAGACGAAGTCTGGGTTTGTGCCCTCAGAAGAGGCTTTATTTTTAAGTATCGCCTGTACAGTTCTTTGTACAATCTCTCAACCCTCGTTTGCGCCATTGGAGTTCATACAGTGCACCTTCGGCATAAAGGTCGTGGTATAAAACTCATGAAAACACAAAAATGTGCAAAGCAGGCCTGGCCCTTCATATTGTCTTGCACTAAAAGACAAAGGCACGCACTTCAACGTTCATGGTTAGAAAACATGCACAGCAAACACCCCAAATTAGCCGATGGAGTTACATAGTACAGTAAACAAAGCTCAGAAACAACAGATGCCACAGCCATATGCAGAGAAGCCGAGGAAGCAGGGACAGCAGCCTGTACAGCAGGGCACACATCACCAAGAGGACACAGAGAGCTCAGGAAATGGAGGAGGGCAGCATTCTCTTCCAGGCACTTGCAGTGCTGATACCAAAATCCTCTGGGCTCCTCATGCTGATGCTCCTCAAGCCGCCTGTCCTCACAGGACCAGCTGTGCTGGGCACCCGCGTTGTCCCATCCCGGGGGTCCCTCTGAGCAGCGGCAGCCCCCGAGACTGTTCTGGGCCCTCTGTGAGCGAGGACGGTGCTGAAATGGGCTCTGGGTCCTTCTGTTCTGCAGCCACTGAGCATCATCATCTTGTCACCTGCCTGCGCACCTCTAGAGCCCAACAAAGGGTCCTGCAGAGTGGTCTGGGTCCGGCTGTTCTAGGGAAGGTCACCTTTGAGCAGTGATTTGGTGTCACTGCACACTGACAGGCTGTTCCACACTCCCCGGGGAAGGGGCTGTGGCTGGGCAGCACTGCTGGGCAGGGGCACGGAGCACAGAGACACCAGCACCCCCACACACAGTGTCTGCCAGAAAAGGTGCTGGATCACGGCATGAACAGGGGATGTTCAAACTGACACAGTACGGGGGACACCAGGCCGGCTTCCCAAACACCACCACCACCACAACAGGCAGGAGAAGGGAACCTACAAAGTCTGGCACATGCCCACCTGCTACTTTGAAGCTGTTCAGGCCACCACTGCTAGTTACTTCAAGGACTAATAGTTTAGATGAAACCTCAAATAAATTTTCTCAAAACATGATTAAACAATGGCTTGGGGTTGGGGTTTTTTTGAGAGTTTTATTAAATATACTACATCAATATCTTGTACTCCATTATCTTTTGACCACTCACAGACTGACTTGCTTAAAAACGTATTTTTTTAGAAAAACATCTGCAAAATTAAACCTAAAAAAAAAAAATACATATTACACACACCTCTGGACAATCTGCATGTTAGCAAAGAATTCCTTTTATTATTTGACCCGAACAAGTACTTAAACAGGGAACATACTCATAAACAGGACACACTCCTTGATCATGGCACACCTCAAACTACTCGGACTAAAGGAAAACTAGTGCAATTGTTTAATTGCATCTAACAACAGAACAATAAAAATGACTTTTTATTCCTTTGTTTGTTTTTTTTTCCCCAAATCCATTCTACTCGTTCTCTTCCCGCCACAACAAAACCTCCGGTGGTTAGTCCTGGAGATCACTCAAGAGTCATTCCACTGCATGAAGCAAACTTCCCGTGGGCTGATCCATGTTTACACAGAAGCATGCAAAGGAGGATACTGCGGTATTTGCAATGCAAATCTATTTAAATGTACAACTGAACAACAAGGTGTCCCTTTAACACTGCAATTCTAGAGCCTTTATCTGTGGTGGAAGTTTTCCAGTGTACGAATTATAAAACAGCCATACCGATTTCAGAAACAGAAAGGAGGGATTTTGCAAATTGTTTGTGTTTTCAGCTGCTAAATCTTTCTGGGAGCCGTGTCTAGCGCCGAAACCAAAGCCAGCTGTTGAGTAGCCAGAAAGCTACAGTAATTGAGTACATGATCATTTCCCTCTTGGCTCGCTCTTTGTTCTCCTCTTCCAGAAGTTGTAGACGGCGATTAAGTTTGATTATCTAAAAAACAAATAAAGGCTTTTAATACTTTGTTAAAAGCTGCCAGACTTTCTCTAGAAGCTTCTGAATAACTACGTTAAGATTAGCATCTCAAACGGATGGATGTTCAACAGCTGATAATTTGACTTTCTATCTTCACATCTTGCTGCCCCCAGTAAGCAGGAACATAAATGCAGTCAGATTCTCTTCTCGATTCCCAGAACAACACGGGATATGTGAGGGCAGTCCAGCAGGGGCACAGAGAGGATCCCTTGCCCACACCTGTTACGGATACCTTTGCAGTCACACAAAAAACCTGTTACCCCATTTTACCGCCACAGCTTTGTCTTAATATTGTCAATTAATGTGCTTCACGTACCTGTCTTCTCAAGGAAGCAGCATCTACAACTGTCATGTCATCTGGCGTTCCCTCGAGTGTCGAGTCGAAGTTGGTGAGACCATATCTACCAAACAAAGAAGACGGCATTGCTGTCTCGGCCACACAAGGATTAGCAAGTACCACATTTTACCAACGTTCCAGTAGGTGTATTTTTTGGTGAGACAATGTCAATCTGCCAGGGCCATGGCAGGGAAAAGGCATCCAGCCACAACTCACAGGCCTGTTACTGAGAACACCTGCAAAGGTTAGGTGACAAAAAGCCAAATTTTCTAGCAAGCTCGTTACTAAATGGCAAATACCTAAACTATACTGCCAGTGTAATTTCAGAGCTTTCCCCTCACACATTAGTCTGAGTCAGAATTCTGTAAGAGTTGAGAGGGAGCACAAAAATCTTGCGTTTTAAAACGAGATCAGAGTAAACAGAAAGGGGGGAAACGGAAACCTGAATTTCAGACTCTAAATTAGTGGACCGTGACTAACAAAAAAATACTCTTTACCTGGTGTTGTCATGATGAGGGTTAGAGGAAGTGGTAGCAGCTGACCCACCACGTAACACTGGCCTACAGCAGGTTTGTGTGGATAGAAAGCACGAGACAGAAACAGGAAACGACAAACAAGAGATAAGAGGTAAAACACACAGAACAAAGGAACTTCAAAATACTTCCAGATATACTCTATGTTTTAATACAATACACCTTCTGTTTATTTTGTTGTAAATCGCTCTTTCTCATCGAATTTAATCAGCACTGAATGTTACTGCAGCTAAGAAGTGTAACGAGATTTTGATGGTACACCCTCATTTGTGGAAGACAAACCAGTGGAATAGAGATTTGGGTGGAGATTATCAGCCTTATAAAACAACCATGGGAAACTTCTGGTTAAAAAAAAACACCAAAAAAATATCCCCCAAAAGTAAAAATCTCACCCAGCAACAATGGGTAAGCAATAAATGTATTTACACATACTTGTAAAAACCTTTTTAATCATCCTCTCCTCTCTCTGGGGAAAGGGGAGATTGGTCTTTTCAGTGTTCATCTATAGTAGATATAATTTAGATATAATTAGAACACCTGGGCTATACCTAAGGAGCATGGATATCTGAAGAGAGGTACATCTCTCCAGGAAGAGGTGACTACAAGCTTCAAGTAGATGTATGAACATCCTGGTAAGTGTTGCTCTTTAAATTTCTTTATCTTTCTAGGCAAAGAGGAAGGAAAGGCAATGCTTTTTAAACTGCTGCAACTCTGTCATACACCTTAGGTTTGCAGCAAGAAGCTCCTGTGTTGCAGTTTACAGAAGAGGTGAACACCAGCAATGCCTTCTGCCCAAGCTGGTACTGTGTATTTTCAGTGCCTCTGGTAACCAAACACGAGTGTAACACATCACAGATGCGGAACAAACCGTTCAGGAGCTTGAAATCTGTGCAAACCACAATGTTCTTCTCTCTGGCACTTAAGATAAACCAGCATGATGTGCTTTACAAAACAGGAAGCCCCATTTCCAGCACGTACACTAACAGAATATTCCTACCTAAATGCACGAGGTCTTCCAAAAAGTTATTATAAAGTTATTATCCAGAGGACTCTCTGGGATCTGTGCAAGTCTTTAATCCCACTTCCCACCACAGCCAGGCTGTTTGGAAGCTGCACATGATTTCTTCCTTTTCTTTGCAATTCACATTTTTTCTTTACAGGTGGACCCCAAAGGAACACCACAATACTCCCCTGCCTCTTCTGCACTCCTTGCTTGGTTTTATGTATCAGAATTGATTATACAGATCGTGGCAGTCTCATAACTGAGATCACTTTACCCCAAAATCAGCAGCAATTTTTTTGGTAAACACAGAATGCACAAGTGTAATATAGGAAAGCTATTAAACACATGGCCTTCTTCAAAAAGAAGCGTACCACAGAACTTTGAGTTTTCTGGCTAACTCTGTGAATTCTATCCTAAACATTAATGCATGATCAGAAAAAAGCCACAGCTCCATAGAGGTCGGGTGTGCTCCCTGCAAATACAGCCTGAAACCTGAGGGGAATGCACAGGAACACAATAACAGTGGGAAAAGTGGCACTGAGGCAATGACCAAGTGAACCTGCTCTGTCTCCTGCTGGTTAGAGCAGAGGGAAACAGGAATACCACAGTGAGGGTGGGATCAAACACAGGGGCTGGGAGGAAAACAGTGAAGTGTGGGCAATCTCTGCACCTGGGTCCAACCTGCACCGCTCCTGTGCCTGCACAGAGGGGACTGAGACCTGCACACACCCTCTCAGGAGAAGATTATGGGGCTGAAGTTTGGCATTTAAAAAGGATGGTGGCTTTTTAGAAGAGACATCAGAAAGAAAGGAAATATTAAGTTTTCATGCTTTTTTTTTTCCTTGTAAATAAAAAAGATACTGATCCAAGAGATGAAGAACACTTTAGATAAAGTACAGATTTCAACACAACTCTATTAAAATATGAAATTGTCCTTTTTCCTGCATTTAAGACATCTCTAAAACCTCTTTAAATGCAGGGAGTTTTTTGGGGGGCTGGTTGGTTTGGGATTTTTTTTTGTTGCCTAGAGCATCAAAGATCAGTCTCTGAAGGGCACTCACTGGCATTTGAAAGGAATTGAAACAGCAAAAATGGTTAGAAAACAAAACTGACCTATAGTCCTTGTCCAAGCTGGAGGAAATGCGAGAGTAAACAGACAGTGCAAACAGTGATCATTAAATTGTTGCTCATTTCCATAACCATGATGTGAGCAGTGCTGGCTGAACAAGCCATAACTCATTCTCTGCAGCAGGACAATCAGCACCTACCGTCAGCAGTTTTAGTGGGTTGGAAAATGGGTTTTTTTGGGGGGAAAAAAAAAAAAAGACAAGCCATGAAACAAGTTAAAAATATTTCCAGTGAGAAACCCACAGCCAGATCTTGTTAACTTTCAAAGATCCCTTCTAGTATTAAAGCACAACATGTTAAAAGAGGTAAGGTTTTGAAACAGGAAGCACATTACACAGAGCAAAAGAACAGAGTGCAGGTTTGGAGCAATTTAAAATGAACAATATTTTGCAACCATGCAAGTGGATCATCCAAATTTCACATTCCTACGCCAGATGTAAGGGTGGGTGTCTCAACACCCAGCCACAAGGAATACACTTTCACCTCACTGAGAGGTTCATCAGTTTGGCACCTGTTTGTCCAGAGGTGACTGGAAACAGGTTTCCCATTCCTTATAGGAAGGTTCGTGAGGACACCTCAAAAATTAACCCACACCAGGGTCAGGTAATGCAGCTTTTGAAGTATTCAGCATTCTAGAAATGTTCTGATAATGGAAGCAAGCTGAAAGTGCATGTATGCACGTGTTTCTTTTCCAGACTCCAAGAAGACACAGGCACGAGCCTAATGGAAGCCAGGAATAAAACCTGGAGCTTCACAGCACACTGAGAAAAGGGCTGGAATTTCAATCCATATTTTAACAAGGATTCTTGGCACAGTGTCTGTCAGTGCTGATGTTCACAGACAGGACAATTCCTCCTTATCTGGGAGCTTTAGTTTGGTAAAACAAACATGTAATTCCATCTAATTTTAATATTGAAAAGGAAAAAAAAAAAGTTATTGATGCCCAACTGTTGACAGGCATAAAAATTTTAACAGCTACAGTTAAGCACCCAACTTGCAGAATTTCATGGGGAACTCTGCAGCTAATTTTGTTTGTTTGATTTTTTTTTTTTTGAGTCCCAGTTTAAGAACATAAAGGCCAGCAAGACTGGAGTTCTCTACAATTCAGGGATGTTAATATGGGTATTTATTTACTGTCAGATCAGCAAACAAGGTGAGCTATCAGAGGTGCCAGTTTGGCAAGTGACTGCAAACACACAGACATTCACAGTAAGATTGGCTTGATAGTCACATTTCATTACCAAAACCGCCAGGAAGCAAATAATTTAACTTCCCACTGCAAATATTAAGCACGCTGCTGGGATATCAGCAGAGGCAGATGGCAAATTTCAAAGAACTTGCTAGCACAGGCCACACTGAAGGGCTGCAGGAGCAACGTGCAGTTCCTGCCAACGTTCTTGCCAATTATCTTCTCTAATTCAACCTCTTGGCAAGTCCCAGAGGTCTGAGATAACCCTACACTCGAGACTGTCTGCAATTCTTAACTGAATTTCTGTGCTAGCACACTGCTGAAATGAAAACTGCTTTTTGTAAATTAATATTGCCATTAGGAGTCTTTGTAAATGTCTCCACAGTGTTAAACGAGCCCTTCTTGTAACACTTACGAGTGCCAAATCACAACAGTCCAAGGATGCATCAAGGGGGCAAAACTCCAGTGAAGAGAATGGAAGGACAGGGATTGCCACGAGGCTTGTTCTGGCTCATCAGCTCTCAAAGTGTCAGGTTATCCATAAAACCAGAGACAGCAAGAATCAGAGGAGCAACAACTTCTCAGTGTTCATTCCCTGCCTTTCTTGCTGTCAGCACCCACAGTGGCCACTGTCAGTCACGGATCAGCCAGACAGAACTATTCCCAATAGGAACTGAGACAGCCCCAAGCCTTGACACGTTACCAAAAGCAGCCTCTACTATGCCTTGCATGATATTCTACATGTTTGTTTTAATGCTCTATGACAGCATCAACCCAATCTTATTGATCTGCACCACTGCTCACCAACGGAAAAGCAGAAGACAAGGCCGGTAAATTTGCAGGCTCGGGGTCGAGTGTTAATTGCAGAAAACACTGACAATCTCAGAAGAGCAAAACTCCCTGCAGCCAGAGGCTAACCCTTCCTATTTTTGATTTTTATTTGGAAGGGAACCGAAACAACCCTGTATTCGAAAACTGAAGCATTTTGAAATGTGAATTTTGGACATTTAAATTGCTTATGAAGAGTGAAAGCAAAGGAAAAGCCAAAGCAAAATATTTTCATCTCGTTATTTTCGTAAACAGAAACCAAACTCCACTAAACAGGAGAACAGAAAAATAAAAAAAAAAAAAAGAAAAAAAGAAGCAGCAAAAAGCTGGCAAGAACCAGTGACAACCAATCACCTGCGGTTTTCATCCAGCACATCCAAGACCTGCTGGTAAGCCCTACGAGTGGAAGACTGGATAAACGACAAAATGCCACGAGCAGAGTAAAGATTAGTTCCATCTTCAGGTAACAGATTGGGAGGACAGACACGAGCCTGTTGCAGTGATGGTGTCACACTGTTTGTATAAGCACAGTAAATGAAGAGAGAAATACCGTAGTCAGATTTTAAATTAAAAAAAAAAATATATAAAAAAAAAAGCTTTTCAGATAGACCCCATTCCAAAATGCTCATTGCTTGGCTTTTGGTTTACCCTTCTCCCACCACTATAAAGGTAACACATTTAAATTTTAGTAGTGTAGGGATTAGGAGCTACATTTACACATGTTCTTCAGAAACAAGCACATGTAACCCAAGGACACAGTTCTGATCTGTTCTACAAGTTAGTTTTAGAAAGTGCTTGCACAGCTAAATCTGTACCTGCTGAAGTCAGTATTCAAGTCCCCAGTGACATCAATGAGAAGTGTCTTAAAAAGCATTACATTTTAAGAAAATCCTACATCATCTCTTTTAAAAACACAAGGGAGAATCTCACACAGAGCCCCGTCAACAAAATTGTCTTGAAGCTGTGACGGAAGATCAAGGCAGTATTTTGGTTTGCAGGTGAACAAGTTTAAAGGCAACTGAAACAAATTCAAGAAATAACAGAAAATTCATATCCCAATGAAAAAAAATTATGTGATCTAACTTGTTGGCTATGACGCAAAAAACATGACCTAAAATATGCAGGACTGAAATTCAAACATGACCATTTGGATTATACAAACCTTGTCAATCAGAGAGAAATTAGGTTTGATGATGAACTGCCTGTGATTTCCTCATATTTCTTTACATTCAAACTGACCTCATCCACATTTCTGTACACATATGAAGCCTTTTTGTTTTTTTAATCTGGAAATTTTAATTAAAGGTGAGATCCTTTTTTAATAGGAAGAAATTTGTGTTAACTTAATTGTACATATTGACACAAATGCATACCAAGTGCGAGCCACTCTAGCCTTTAAATCTTTTTAAAATAGTTTTTATTCCTAGATTAGCACCCACAATCCAACACATTTCCTTGCCCCTTGTGCTTTGCTCCAAGGGTTTGTGGGTTTAGAATCTCAGTCTTTCTGCCCTTGGCATTTTTAGTAAAACATTTGTGGCTGAGTGCTTGGAAGCTGGTTTGGTATTTGGATAATCTCTAGAAGTAAAAAGACTTCTGTAGATACTAAAAGTATTTTAAGATGTGAAAAAAGCCCCAACTTAACTTAACAACAACTGTACAAAATTCCCTAGAACTAAGTTACGTGTGCTGATTAAATTCAAAGTGTATATAATAAGGAAAAATCAGAAATTCAGAATAATTCCATGAAGAGCAGAAATGCCAGGGAGAGAGACAAGCCAAATTTTTCTTCCATCTTCTTTTTCCAGGGTTTAAGATTTATGTCCTGTAAACATATGGTAGGACATAAACATTTTGGATTATGTCAGAGACCGTGGAGAAGAAATATTATAAAGCAATTGTCAACCCAGATGATAAAACAAAAAAGAGCTCAAACATAAGGAAAGTTCTCTAATATTTAGTATGAGCACTTACTGTTGTGGCTACGCCCCTTCTCTTCTCCATTTCTAGTTAAATGGTTTTATTTCTAGGATAACTTTGTTTCAAATTCCTGCAAAGAATAGCTCCAGCCACTTATTTTACCACTCCCTGGCTGCAAACACCAGTCCATTCCAGAGGGTGGAACCAAAACAAACAACCTGGAATGACAGTCCTTACTAGGAAAGAGCACATTCTGCTGTGTGCAGAGTTTTCAGCTTGGCAGCAATCTCCCCTAAAACTTCTCAAAGCATTTGGGATGCACACAGGCTTTATTTCGGTTCTGGAAGTAGCCAGTGAGAGGTAAGCAGATTTAACCAGTTAAGGTTACTGTAAATTCAAGCACATGGACTGTATTCTTATTAAAGACATGCACACCATCACCTTTTCTCCATGAAGAACAGAATTTCTCAAACTGTGACACTGAACTCTCTAGAGAGATGTGTTTTTCTAAGGAAAAGGCTGGAACAGAAAAACAATTCAGTGCTGTCCACTTTTCCAGGCACTTTTGGTGTTTTGGTGACTTCCAACACAGAAGTGGAATCCTTGCATTCACCAATGACCAACAAAAAGCTTTGTTTCTCCAGCTGTTCAAAACCAGCCAAAGAACAAAGAGTCAAACAAACTACAGCTAATTTTGAAAATTGATTTTTTGTTTTACTGTCCCTTTCATTGGCTGTCAGGTATTTTTCCCTATGCTCTTTACAGGGGGGAAATGATACATCCGAGTTTGAGAAACCCTGAAGCAAAATTAGAAACCACACCTTCAGTGTAGCAAAGGCTGTTTCAAATTTTAATCCTCTAAACTACAGATACTTAGTCAGAATATTAGTACTGCAGAGAGCTACATAATTAAACACACTCTTGGTTTCCATATACCAGGTAACATTTGGGCTTACGTGCAATCCTGAGTCGAAAGAGGTGACTGGAACCGTGGCATTTTATTTCTTGGGACAGTATCTGATCTGTGCCACCTTGAATAATAATTGTAATCTCTTAAGTAAGCATCCTTATAAATCAGAGGAATTGTAATTTAGAGAGCTGGCATTATTGCTATGCAGACAGTTACTGTACCAGCAGGTACCTACTTGTTAGTCTCGGGTTTTCTAAGAGCATTTGGGAATTATTGTCTTTAGTGAAGCCCAAGTGCCAAAAAATTCTCAGAACTGTCTCTGCATGCAGCTGGACGACAAGAGAGACTACAGAAGAGAAACAACTGCTTGTTCCATGTGGAGAACGCTGTGGCAGGGAACCCAGCCAACTCTGCCTCCATCTGACAATCTATTCCAGAATGTTTAATTTTGTCACTTTGTAAGCCAAGCACTGGAGTTTCTCCCAGTACATCTGAATATTTTGTCCAAGGACAACACTGCCCTAGATTAAATCTTCAGAATCATGGTCTTGTGCAGAAAACAAAGGCTTTAAAAGGCAGCGCTCCCTAGGCCTTTTCATCTGAGCTGACTATCCTGTCTATCAGGGAGATGAACCAAGGAGGTAAGAGAAACAAGTGTTTAAAAAAAAAAAAAAAAAAGGTTTTGGTTTTTGTACAGGAATTTAATATTTTAAGTAAAACATGGACTTTTTTTTCCTATTTAAAGATGTCAAACCAGACTCACACAAGCACAGAAATAAAGAGCTGATCTTTGTCAAGTTAGAGCACCATAGCACGTTACTGCACAAGTGAACTATGTAGAAATGATACGAATTTATAAGTCAAGCCAGTTTTGATGAAGCAGCCATGTATTATTAATTATAACATAGGCTGGTTTTTTCGGCCAGCAACACTAGATGTAAGAACTTTAGGTGCAGTGAGTTTCTTGTGGCTTTGGACCACTAGAAGATACAGTATTCCTAGACAGTAAAGAAATTTCAAGGTGATACAAATGAGGTAACAGGTGCATAAGTATTCTTTCTATAGTACAAAGAATACATTTACATGCATTTACATTTACTGCATTTGTGTGTGAGCTACACAAGCTCCCCCATGAAGATGGGATTTCAGCAGTCTGAAACAGAACACTCTCCTGGAGTTAGCCAGGGCCAGAGGCACATTCTCCACCTGGAGCCTGACAAAAACTAAAAGAGGGAGAAACATCCACAGCATGTTCAAAGCAAATTCATCTTTTGTGTTGTACTGAGTCAGAAGAAGGAATTATGGCAGAGAAAGAAGCAATTTCTAGGAACCTCAGCGATTTCAAGGCATGTGATCTACACTCTGGACACAGCCTAACTTCTCTCATAAGGAAACAAGAACTTGGGAAGACAAGAGGAAAAAATGAAGTTCCTACTAAAATACATCATCTGCAGGTCAGCAAATGCTGCAGTGGGGAAGGACAGCTTCTTCCACATGGGCAACAGAGGGTGTGGATGCAGCAGGGGCAGCATCAGGAGCTGGGATTTTTCAGGCAAGCAAGAGAAGAGATCCTGGATCAATGGAAAGGACATGCATGGCACTGGAAGTTTGATTTATGTGACAGACCTTACACATGGGCATCAAGAGAGCAAAACTGATCTCCAGGGGGGTCATAATCTCCTGGCTTTTGTAAATGATAAACTGAGTCACACCAGCTGTTCCTTGATCACATCCTTTTAAAATTTACAGGATTCCACTTGCATGCCTATTGTACTGCTAAGTCTCTGAAGGACTGCAAGTGGATTAAAAAACTGTGACATCAAATAATATTTAGACCATTTTAAACCAATAATTCTATACATACTTAACTGAGTGACAGCAAAGCACACAGGTGAGTTTTAGAGATTTAGGACTTCCAGATTCAAGAAATCCCAACATGTGAGAAACCTGGATAGATCCAGTCAAGGGCTGATCTTGCCATTTCCTCAGATATCTGGCTGGGACATAACTGGGTGACTGAGACCACAGGGAGCTTGGGCACTTTGTAGGCTGATAGAACACTTGGAGACTGAGCTGAGCAGGAGATGAGGATGCAAATCTAGTTTTGCCTGCTCAGTGAGCATGTCTGACTCCAAGTGCCTAGACATGTGCAATCTATAAGCTTGTATGAACCAAAAGTCTGATGAAGACGAGGAAGATCTGAAACATTTCCATAAAGATGTGAAGGAAGAGAAGGAGATTTATGTCTGGAAGGTGCATCAAAGCTCACTTCACTGGTTTTAGACCAGCTAACAGGTGGACAGATATGTAGTACACACAGTGCCCTTGCTCTAAATAGAAGAAAACAGGCATTTCTAGGGCATAATTCATTTGATCTACATTAGACTAAAAATAGGGAGACCCAAAGTAGGTCATGTACTTATTTTCCTCATTACTGAATATTAACTTTATGGTGATCTAGCAATACTGTTGTACAGTCTACACTGAGACAAATGAATCCCATCTTTAAGTCTTAAATCTAAAATCTTTTCTAAGGCAAGTATTCCTTATGGCAGATGTATTAAAACTCACATATAAAAGATTCCTAAGTGTTACACTGCCAAACCAGTTATTTCCAGGTGGAAAGATGCTGTCACTCAGAATAAACTGCAATTAATCCAAAACTACCATATCCAAGGAAAATTTACAGGTATGCATGTCTTCAGAAAGCACCCTAAGAATTACTACCTTGGATGGTAACAACAGATGAAGTTTCCAATTCTAAATGCAACTTTGGTCTCAAAAGGTTAAGATATATACTGACAGATTCCAATTTATTAAATACATTGGTACCAAAAAAAAAAAATTATTTATTCTAATATTTATGAGGAAATAAAAATACTCCTTCTTCTAAGAGTGAAAATCCTTATAATATCCACAGTGGGAGAACTGGGAACATTTTGATGTACAAAGAACTCAATTTCCCGAAAATTCAGGGGAAAAAACATGCTACCAACTCGGAAACTGAAAAATCTCCTGAAATGACAATTGATGGCAACCGGTGAAACTGTGAACCTACAAACACTCCCACCTATCCACTGCAAGAAAATGCTTCACAAATGACTCACCTCACTAAACAGAAAGCATAAAAATTAGGAAAAATGCTGGCCTTGTAATTGTTAAAACTACGTGCTTGCCACAACATGCAAAATATTAGTTGGAAAAAGCCAACCACGAGGAGGTGAGGAACAGGGGAGATGTGTGACCGAGCCCCAGCAGTGCCCCTGCACTCTGCTCCCCACTCACATGGAGTCATTGCGGGCCAGCTGGCCGTTGTGCCGCGTGGCGTTTTCGCTCATGGAACGTTCTCTCTTCAGCCTCCCCACCGAGCGCACCTGCAGCGAAGGGACACAGAGGGACGTGAAAGACAAGAGGGTTCCAGGACACAACAACGGGCAGGGGAGGGTTGTGGGTCAGAGCTGCCCTCAGACACAAAGGCACGTTTTCACAGGGATTGGGAGGAGAACAACTGATGACAGCGTCTGATGCTGGTACGTGTAAAACCAAGCTCCAAACTTATTGCAGTCCTGTTGTTATCTATCCATGGGATCTGATGCCAAAGTGACGAACCAACAGAATTTTTAGTAGTCTCTGGAGATATTCAAAAGCCCTCTGGACACAATCCTGAATAATGTGCTGTAGGAGACCCTGCCTGCACAGGGAGGTTGGACTGGATAACCTCCAGTATTCCCTTCCAACCTTACCCATTCTGGGATTACTTCCTACCATGAGAGAGAAACGCATTGTATTTTGTAAGTCTACAAAATTTGTGGCTTTCCTAAATATCTTTCTGGGTTTAAGATGTCAATTGCCATCATTCACCTGGATGCCAATGTTATACCATCCTATGAAGTTGGTTTTCAGAGCTTTAGCAAAACTCATGTTATATCACCCAGCCATGAAGTCCAGAGGTCAACTAGACACATTAACAGAATGTGTAGCTCTCTAGTCTGTTTTCTGATAACCTGCAAATTTAAAAAAAAATACCTTGCAGTTTTCTCTTCATCAAAAGGATGTTTTTTGTTAAAAAAAGTATTTTGAGTAGTTCTAATTGTGACTTTATTTTCGTAAGTACTGAGTTAGCTTACTGAGCCTGGCAGCCCCATGCCATCTGCCACTTCATCAGAAGTACCACGGTGCTAGTAAAACCACTTTTATATTTTCCCAGCTTATGTTAGCACCAAGTTGATCTTCACCAGAGGAGAGAAATCATTGGTCATTTCGCTTTCTTTAGCAGCAGAATGCTTCTCATCTAAGAAAAAAGCAAATATAAGTACTGGCCTCTTCACTTTGAGGTGTCTGCTGTGCAGGTTTTTCTAGGTCCAAAAAATCTAGCGGTCGATCACTAAGAGAAATAACACGGGGAGGAGTTTTCAGTGCCAGTGGTTTGAATGGAGTAGACTGAAGAATGTCAAGGTCTGCTGGTCTGGAAAATGGAATGTCTTCACTATTACCTGCAAGAACATCAGTTGTCAATAGCAAGTAAACCACTCCGAGGCCTGAGGGCCAATGCTAAAGTTCAAAAAGACATCACAACAGTTAAGTCCCCGGCCTATGCTAAATAATTAAATATAACTTCCCTTAACAGGTCTTGCATGTTAAAAACTATTGTTAAAGCTCTCATAAAGACCACATTATTGAGAATTATTTGAGCAGTTTCTCTGAGAACGGTGATCCTGAGTAATCCTGAGCCACATCAACTGCTAATTACTAATATATAGTAGATCCCCAAACTTGTTATAGTTACTTAAGCTTATATTTAATTAATAAAAATCGGGTGCAAATCAAAAAACATTACTTTTATTCCCTCCAAAAATGGTTTAGTAAGATGAAACGTCAGCAATTAAACCTTCTGTGCATAATTAATTAACTGTCTCCATTACAAGCTACACCAAAACTATTAATAAAACATTTTCAGAGTTTAAGAAACTCCCTACGTCAAAGTCAATGAGCACCAACTGCCTGAGAACCAGAGAGCATTTTACAGGTTGTTCTTTCAAAAATGCATCAGTATATATTTTTTTTCCCCATCCAAAAATCCGGGAAACGACTTTAAATTTTCACCCGGATCGAGACACAGACGTACCTGCCACCACAATCCGCTCTGGAACCTGCATGGTTACACTGGCATTGGGAAATCCTTCTGGGACGTCCTTTTCGAGGTCAGCATTTTGAGGGGCTACTTTGAGTTTCTCGGGGACCCTCATGCGCTGGCTGATCCCCTCCGTGTATTCCATCTCGTACTGCAGCCGGTTCATCTCTGCCATCTCGGCGGCCGGCGACGGGAACGCCGCCCCGCTCATCCTGGCAAGGGAAAACCAACAACTCTGAGAGCAGCAGAAAGCATGCAAAGGAAATGCTTTGTTCTCGTTACCAGGTCCTCAAAAAACCCAAACCCAGAAATTCTGTATGCGAGGTGTCGGTCTTGCACTGGCTGGCAGAGAAAGAAAGACAAACAACCAACAGATCCCTGAGAGGACGGATAGGAAATCTATTCAGAATTGGCAAGAAATCTGAGTTGTTGGTTCGCATTTACACAGATCCAGGGTGCTGGTGTTTGAGAAAATGGTTGAAGCCTCACGAAACTGCACGTTGAAGCAGTGGAATGACAAAAGGCTCAGCTTGGGCAGCAGCCTCCTGCTCACTGTCAGTCATCCAGACCTCCCCCCACCTCACAAGGACAAAGTTCCTCATGAACAGCCTGTCAAATCAGCTTGAACACTGAGGACATTCACAAGCAGTCCCAATCACAGCAATTCCGTGAACTTCTCACTTCTGTTTTTCTGTAAATTAAAATCTTGGTTTTGCAGAATTGATACAACACAAGGGCAGAGAGAACAAAACTTTATCTAAATTCAAGAGGATTTGCCAATGCTTTATAGATACATTTTCCTCGAAGAGGAGGGGGATTTCAGCTGAAGCAGTGGGGGAGTTTCCCAGAAACTGGGCTGTGACAAACTTACTGATGTACTTGCTGGGAGCTGTGTCCAAATACCAAGGTAACTGGGGTTTTGAAGTCGGATTTAAGGTTGAGAGAAAAAGAAATCCTAGAGCTGCACATGGAGGGGGGCTGGGAAGGGGCTGCTGATGGAAACTGTGGGCTGGGAGAAGTTGTTCACCTGGGCAGTGGCTGGTGGACCTCGCTGATGGCTCATTCTGAGATTATGGTTATGGACTCAGCTAAGAGAGACATCCTAAAGCTGCAGTTGGAGTGGGGCTGGAAAGGGGCTGCCTGAGTAAACAGCGAGCTGCAAGGAATTGCTTGTGGGAAACTTTTCATCCAGGCAGTGGCTCAAATAGCTGGGGACCTTGCCAACAGCTCAGACTGAGATAATGGGTTATTTTTAGGGCTAGGATTGGAAAAGAGGCGTTTCTAGACATATATGTGCACACACAATTTGCACAACAAGGTGCAAATACAGTTTTCCCAGCAAACCTGCTCGTGGGAAGCACAGCTCACTGCAGCAGGACACCTTTTTTTTTTTTTTTAAATGAAGTGACCTATTCTGGCAAAAAGGCAGGGTTTGCCACTCAAATTGCAACCACATTCTTTTCCTATTTTTGGCAGCAGGCCTCTGTCTGTGGCTGTGTGTGCATCTCCCTGAGCTGAACATGCAGAACTCTGAGCTTCAGTGCAGGTGAGACAGCCCACGAGCCCTTCCTCCCACCGGCACACACAGGCAATACCTTCCAGATTGATCAGTAAAACCTTGAACTAACAGTAACCTTCAGATAAGAGAAGGAAGCCCACAGAAGGATCTGGACTGTGTAACTCTGAAATGCACACATTGAGTATATTCAAGACGTGATCCACTTGAATCACATCTTGATTTATTTCATCCTGTATTAATTCCCACTATTTGTATGTATCAAGTGAAACAAAGTTAAACAACCCCTTTCGTTAGAAATAAACACTTAATGGGAGTTCAAGAGGTTCTTAAACTTCTCCGCCACTTCAAAGTTTTTAACCTTTCTCACGGAGTTTTTTCATCCTTTGATTTTGCAAGCTGGACTTGTCCCTCTGGCAGACAGTGGCTGAATCAGCCAGTGGCATGAAGAAAACAGTCTTCTGACATTTCCACATCCCAAACAGTGCTTTTCCTTTCAAAACATCGTCTCTGATGAGTAAAGCATTTCTAGATCGAGTAAAAACGTCAAAAAAGAGACCAAATTTCAAGAAGAACTTGAAGTGCCCAGATTACGGAGTGGCAGCACTTCAAGCACACTTACTGCTCACACGACCTGCCAGAAGGTGTTTCAGTGCTTGCTCACATCCTCATTTTGAAATACCTGTGCAGCCCTAATTTTGGCAATCGAGGATCCCTGCCCTGCAGCAGCGTTTGCACCACAGCCTGGCACTGCTCTGGGACACGAGCTTGTAGCACAGCTGCTTTCCCAGCTGCAAGGTAAAACACACCCAGAGCCAGCCTTGGAACAGTCACTTTGTAAACTATTTATACACTAAATAGCACTGCGTGGGTTTAGCTGTACTTGCCAAGGACCTATGGATACAGCACCTCGATGTCTTCCTACTCTCGCCTACTCTGAGTCACCGAGAATTGGATTTGCTGTCAAAGCGATTTCAGTTTTTACTCCTTTTTACAAGAGAGCAACGAAACAAGAAATGGTGAGATTTCACCAACATAAAACCCAACATATTTTAATGGAACTTGAGAACGAAACAAACTTATGTTTTCTGTAATGTCCTTGTTACTACAAAGCATTTTACAGAAAAACATTAATAATAAATCAGGGATAATGAGGATTTTAAAGCTGATATTTACAGACCTAGATAGCTCTTAAAGAGGCATGAGAATATGAATCTGAGAACAATAAGGCAATAAAAGTACAATCAGAGATATATGATAAATAGACAGAATGCAGTTGAAGCGCAGATGAGCATCAGCGGCATTTCATGAAAGAAGGAAAGGAGGGAAAAAAGTCCAGAGGAGGATAAGGGAAGAGAGAGCAAGAGGCAAGGGGTAGGTACCTCCTTCCCCCTCTTCCAAAAAAGCACATCAACAGGAGAGATGAGGATGAAGCAATGCACACAGATTCTAGGGACGACTCTTTGCCAGCATTATCTGGCCATATCTGTGCTGCAGCCGGGAATGTTCTGCCCGGCGAGGAACCCGAGACACCGGAGGAGCACTGGTAACACAGCTGTGCCAGCTCTGAGAGCAGGGCAGGTCTCACAGCCCTCACCGAACTGTAACTTCTCCAGCCCCTAAAAACAAAACCTATCCGCTGTACCCGAGGAGAGCTGTGCGGTCACGAAACACCGAAGGCTGCATTCTTTCAGGTCTGTTTCGCTCCAGCTGAAGGTTTTGAGCAAAACATTTTGATGGAAAACAAAAATACCGAGGAACGTTAGAAGACAAATATCCCCCTGAGAACCCTCTCTCTGAAACATTCGCTGAAATTTCCCTGCCCTGCGGAGGCGCTGGGAGGGCTCGGCAGCGGACAGGGGGGAAGGTGCCGCCTTCCCTAAGGGAGGGTCGTCAGCCGGTAATGCCCGAGGGGGCCCCGCGGCCTCGAGTGTCCCCGTGGGGGCTGAGCCTCCAAACGCCCCCGGGCCGCTGCCGAAAGGCTTCCAAGCCCCGGGACCGCCGGGAGAGCCCCCGGCACCGGGGACACACGAGCCGGGGGGCTCCGGCTTTGAGGGCGGCGAAGGGCCGGCCCTGGCCCCGCGCACAGGCCGAGCCCCCCCGCTTGGAGCTGGGGCGCTGCCGCCGCGCCCCAGGCGGTCGGTACTCACCCCGGAGAAGCCGCGCAGCGCTGCGGGCCCGGCCCGGCCCGGCCCGGCCCGGCCGGGGAGCGCCTCAGGCACGGCGGCTCCGCTCCGCCGAACGCGGGTCAGCCGCACAGCGCGGCCCGCGCGTCCCCATCGGGCTCCCGTAAGGGCCGCGCATCACGTGGCGCGGAGAGGGCGGAAGTGGCGCCCGCCGGGGCCTCACGGGTGGTGTTGCCCCGGGGCGGCCATCTTGGGTGAGGGCGGGCCGGCCCCGCGCAGGCGCAGTGCGGTGTCCCCGCCAAGGGCAGAGACCGTGAGGGAGCGGGGACACATCGGGCCGGAACCGGTGTATTATATTATGTACCCTCTCAGAGCTTTCGCCCCCTTTTTGGTTTACGGTCACAGTGTTTTGGAGGTCAGAAGGAGGAGCAGTTCCAGGAGTACCGAAGACATGTATCGATCCAAGGCCCGCAGCGAGCTAATTCAGCTCTTTACAAATATCGACAGCGCTGTTTTACAGAGGCGAGTGGTCAGAAACATGATCTCTTACTAAATAGAAGTTGTGTAACATTGAGAATTATACATCAGTTGCCTCAAGGTACAGGATCTTAGACTTGGCCTCCTTCAAACCTAAGCTCTCGGCACATCTTACCAGGCAATCATCATCACTCTGGATGAGGAGCTTTAAAAAGCCAGCCTTAAGAGTGGTTCATACAACACCGGTCTCTTGGTTTGTCTTCCTTATTTTCATGCTGAAATCTTGATAATAATTTTAGCTGGGCCCTCTTGTTTTTGCTGCATCAAACACCAGGCAGCCTCTCCCTCACCCCCCACACCTCACCCCACCATGGGATGGGCAGGAGGATCAGGAAAGAAAAGAAAATAGAACTCGCATTCAGATAAGAACAGTTTTGTAATTAAAGCAAAGTGGTAATAACGATCCTAATAATAATAATAGTAATAGTAATAAAAAGGAGGGAGAGAGAAGGAGGTAAAACCCAAGTAAGGCAAGTGATGACAATAGAGCTGTTCACCACCTTCTGACAGATGCCAAGCCTGTCCCTGATCCTCCATCCAGGTAACTTCCCCACTTTATATTCTGGACATGACACCCCGTGGTGTGGAATTGCCCCTTGGGCAGTTTGGGGCACCTGTCCTGGCCACGCTCCCTCTCAGCTTTCTGGGCACCTCCTCACTGGCACACATGGGACACGGGGAAGTCCTTGACTGAGAGTAAGCACTGCGGAGCAACCACCAAAGCATCGGCGTGGTATCAGCACAACAGTTCTCAGACCCAATCCACAGCAGCCCTGGACCAGCTGATAAGAAGAAAAAAAATAATCACAGCTCATCCCAGCATCCTATGTAGGAATATATCTAGGAAGACAGAGAGCATGCAGAAGTCCAGCTTGGGCATTTACAGGTGTTAAACTTCTGGTGTAGCCCAGGTTGGAGAGAGTGAGTGTCATTTTGAGGGTGCATTCTACCTACTGTCTTCTAATCAGTATTTTTTTTTTTTGGTACGCACAGGCAGTGGACAAGATTATTATAAGCTTTGAAAAGAACAATTAAAAAAAAAACACAACCAAACAGGAAATGGGTCTTTTATTTAGTCAAAATATTTTTTATTTGGCTGTATTTAGCCCCCATGGTTTGCTCATTATTTCCCATTTCTCCTGCGTCCGTCCTTTCAGTACAATATATTAACACCTTGCACCTCATCAGCACTTTCCAGTTATTAAGGCTCCCAAAGCATTTACAGACATGAGTTAACTAATCCTCAAAACAATCGTTAGCAGTAGGGAAGTAACATGATCTGCATCTGCAGAGAGACATTTACACCAACTCTTTTCAAGTTTTAATTGGATTTCCAGTGTCCAGCTTGAGTTATGCCAGGCTTGACAAACATGTGTCCCTGCAGTTGTATTTCATGCTTTGGAAAGCAAGACTGACCTCGAGCAATCAAAACCTAAAGCTATTCATGAACATCTTTCTCTTTTAGTAACTTGTTGAAGGCCACACCAAAAGTGAGCAGCTGAATCCAAAACTGGGATCGAGGCATCGCTTCCAGTTTTGGGCAATGCTACGGAACAGAACCCTTTTGCAACTTACCTTTTGGACTTTAAAACCACAATCCATTCCCTTCTCCTTACACATTACCCTCTGCTGGCCATTTCCAGCAGGATTTCACTCTCAGGTGCTCACATTTGCATTTTACCAGCAAGTTTTATGTGAGTAAAACACAGTCATCAATTGTGGATCACACATGAGGGCCTTTGGGTGACTGCAACGAGCCTTAATGAAGAAAAAAGAAACCACTAAACCCCCAACAACCTCACAAGCAACAGGTGTGGTCTTTATCTTGGAGTATTTAAAGCAATCTTCAGCATTTATGGCAAAATCTAGTGTGTGATTGTTTTAAGGAAAACAACCTCAACCCCAAGCCTGGCTCAAATAACAGACTAAATATTTAAACTCAACATTAATACCTCCTTATCAGTAGTGCATCTGCATAGAGATTCTTCATAAAACCCTGCAAATTCACAATGATAACCTTGCAAACAGAAGTCCCGTGACTGTTCAAGCAAACAATAGCTTTTAAAATATCCATTCGGTCCGTGTAAACGGTGCCCTCACGTTCCCTCCGTGGTGAGGCACCGGCATGGAACACAGACAAAACCTTTCCTTAGTTAGGTTAACACTGACAGTTCAAACAGTCAGACAAACACAATGCAAGTGTTTTAACAGAAACAATATAAAATTTCACTGGCTTAAAAAAAAAAAAAAAAAAAAAAAAAAAAAAAAAAAAAAAAAAAAAAAAAAAAAAAACAAAACCAAAAAAAAAAAAGCACCTAAATGAGAAATCTTGGTTATTTCGCTGAATTGCTAGACCCTACATTTAAGTGGTGCATTTACAGAACTATTCAGATGAATGAAGCGTCTTCCGTAACACTAAATACTGGAATTCTGATAGATTGTGCAAGTATTAAAAAATATTAACATTTTAAATGTCAAGATTACAATTTTAAATAGCCTTGCAAGTGCAATGTTATAAATATTAAAAAAACAAAAAACAAACAACTTCAGAGCTACAATTTTATATAAGTTATATGAGTAAATGAAAGTGCTTTTCAAGTATTTATGTTCGTTTACAGTTGGATTCTCTTGTATTAGTCAGTGCTTAGATGGTACAATTTAAATATCCGTCTTTTTTAAAATTTTGGATGCATAAATTTGACTGGATGGAATAAACGGCTTCATTTCCGAAATGTGTGATAAATACTTAAATACAGAATATAATTTGTGATAAATATTTAAATATGGACTATTATAAAATGGAAATATTATAGATTCTGTATTCTATTAAAAATAAATTAGAAAGAAATCCCATCCCGATGGGTGGTGATAACCTCATAATGCCATGGGAGCCCTTGAGCCATACAGCGATTGTTAATTCCGACAAAATCCGAGATTATGACATGGTAAATAGTTTTCCTTCGGGAGAGATGAAAGCATGGGATCATAATACTGTCAGCTTTTGAGGAAATTAAAGGATCCCATGATCTAATGAAAACTTTCAGTCAGTCAGCCCTTGGCCACAGCCACTCTGGGGGACACAGCCGTGCCTGTCCCCACTGTCCTGCCTGCCCAGGGCAGGGTGTGCTCCCTCCTGGCCAGGCAGGGACACAACAAAGACTGCATTCCTCTCTGCCAGCCACAGGAAGGGGGAGGGAAAGTGGGGAGATACTTGTTTATTAGACAAGAAAACCAAACCAAAACAACTCTCAAGGAATCATTATCTGGTTAAAAGTGCACTGAAAATATTTCCTATCGAACCCCATCGCTCACAAGTGCCAGATTGTCATCTCGTTTAAATACCCACTTGGAACACTGAACATATGCAAGCTGATACAGGAGCTTTAGCTTGTCTTGCTGTTTGAAAAGCACATGACACAAAGGCAGCATGAACATCTTTCATTAAAGATCCGGTGGTGCCGTGGTTTCATCCTGGAGTTGCAGCTCAGAAATGCCATCGTTCAGCAGAAGCCCCTGCAGATTGCCTGGACAGGCTTCCTCCAACAAAGTGCTTTGTCATTTGCCGAAAGTCCAACTGTTGCCCTGCCTCACCACAGTGCTGCACTGGCAATTTAGAATTTTCTCTCCAGACGCAGCTGGACTTTAATAAATTATAGCTCTTCAGAGTTAGGCAATTTTTTGTAATAAAAGCAGAGTTTCATGTTCTATCAAGAGTTTAGATTGGTCTCTTCATGCAGACCTGGCAACGACTGATGATATTTTCTAGTTCTCCTGCTTTCAAAGTCTGTGGCACAGGTCTCCTAAAAGAAACAAAACATTTAATTTTTATTTTTTTTTCCTTTAAAAACCACGGAGAGCGTGGGTGTGCTGGGTCTGAATGCAGGGACGTGCAGATACCTGAACATTCTCCTGGGATTTAACGTTGCCAACCAGAAGCTGTAGGAATTTGTGTAGTAGTTGCACGTTCCCCTGCCGTGACACTCAATGAATGGGACGGCTCGGAATTCCTCCAGACAGGATCCAGGAGATGCCAGTGCTTGGCCAGAAGCTTCTGAGCCGGCACTTGTGTACTGCAACCAAAAACCAAAACCATTTTTTAATGACAGCTCCTCCACCAGCTTTTAGTAAACTTTAGAATCATGAAAATTCAGACATTTATGGCATTTCTCAAGTCCCTGCAAAGGCCTTTTTCTGCTGCATGAAACTAAACATCACAAAGACTAGAAAGGAGCTGGTTTCTGGACAGTGGAGGAGCACGGAAAATAAATCACAAATAAACCAAATGTGAGGTGTGTGTTTTCACATTTTTTGTTGCTTTGATTGCTTCTTGAAACACAAAAGGCAAAAAAGGTGTTTTCCTTCTCTGATGTTGGTAAATGCTTGTAGAAATAGCTCTAAAATAATTTATGACATTAGAGAATTGGCTGGAAAATACCATTCAACTTTCTGATGTTGGAAACAAGTGAATTATTTTAGCCAGATGCTGCAAAAATTCTCTTATTCTTTTCCAAGCTTATTATTATTATTATTATTACTTGGAGCCAAATTGCAGGAGAGACAACAGATTTCACTCTAGTCCTAAAAGGACTTAAATTCATGGGGGGAAAAAAAAATTTTTTTTTAAATGCTGTCTTTTGTGTTCATTTGCTGGCATCTCTATGACATTCCTCAGGAAGTGCTACATCCTCTAGCATAGATTATTCCCATAATCAGTTTTCAATTTGCAGTCACATTATGGACTTTCTTCACTCCTATCTCGTTACGGCATCAAAATTGCTGAGTCAGCCTTTTGCTTTTTTGATTTTGGCTCTCTGTGTTCAGTCCCAAGTTCTGATTCCTTAAAGAACTTCCTGGCATGCAAGTAGGTCAGTTATTTCTGTGTTTTTGTGTTCAGCGCCAGTTCAGCCACTCCACTCTCCAGCTCTGTCTCTTAGATCTTAACGTGACATATGAAAATAAGTGCGTGCAGTTATTTTTGTCAGACTACAATCCTATGGTTCTCTTTTCATCTTTTCCCCTTTTCCCTCCTGCAGCCTATTTCTGAGGACACAGCAGAATAGTTGTCTCTGTGCTTTTGGAATTGAAGAAGAATTAATAGAATTCTTGTGTACTTGGCAAAGGCAAAAAAAAATTAACAGTAAGAAACAAATGAGCTACGAACAGCTGAAAACCCCGATGAAAATCAGAAATTAATAACTAATAATTTAAGTCATTATATCCTTACCATAACAAAAGAAAAACCCTTCCAGAGAGATATCCAGCCTTCTGGACATGCAGGAACTGCAGTTGTTTGGCTGTGAACTGCTATTACCATCGCAGCTCCTTCACACACAACACACCTGGGGAGGAAAGCACAGGGCAGATATGAGGGAAAACATGGAAGCAGAGCAATTTCTCTCTTCTAGGACAGCAGCTGCCTCATGGCAGGGCTTGCTGTAAATGTTACAACTCACACAGGAGATCAGTAAATTGAAGGTAACCCATTTACCCCACTTTGCAATTGCTTTGTAATCCCTACGAGTAACGCCAGACAAAAAATTGTTTTAAGATGGGAATCAATCCCATAACTTTTGCCTTTAATGAAGTAACTAGTGAAATTTTACCTTTTTCACGAGCTCACTGCTTTATGTTGCTATGGTTTAAATGACAGTTTCGTACCTTTATTTGCTAAAATCAGAAAAAGTAATCTTTACTTCCTAAACGAGGAAACTACGAAGCTGAGCTACCAGCTTGCAACAGCTGGGTAGGACAGGACTGATGACAGAGTGCAAAGCTCGCCTTCCCATTTGGGATTTTGCTGCTCTAGGCCTTTGATGCTTTTGGAGCTTTTCCTGTTAAGTTGCTCTTCATCCCTCTCACCTGCTCTGAGCTACTCGAAATGGCCACGCTTGCACAAGGGTGTTTCATAACAGAGACCCTTCAGCCCCAGCTCACGGTGTTCTTCACCAAAACTCCAATAAACATGTTGGCACAGAACAGGCCCTGTGGTGGGACCCCAAGCTGTATTCCAGCTTTTCTACAGCATCACTGCATATTTGACATATTTAGGTGAGTAATCAAAAAATCAGGGTTTTGAAGTCAGTGCTTTCACTGGCTGAGATGGGCACGTCTTTGCCATTGAGTACAATTTACGGTGTCTTTGTGGTTCCAGGGCAGAAAAGCTGAAATTCTTATCCTCTCACCTGCTTATCTGGGGCTCCAGTGCCCTGCCAGAAATAGGAGCCATGTCTGGGGGCATCACCACCGCAGTGGACAGCCAGTAGGAGTAGTCATTGCGAGAGGCAAAGCTACAAACGTCGTTGGGGCTGCAGAACAGGAATGGCATGGTGGTGAATCTCTGCAGGCAGCTGCCAGCTGTTCCTGAAAGACAAAGGAGGAGAGGTTTGTGACACATTCGAGGTTATATTTAGTGCAGTGAACAGCAGAGGCATCCAGTCTACTACAGTAGATTGGTACAGCTGGTCTATTAAAAGTGTCTGTACAATAGAATTATCTGAAAGTAACATGCTCATGGTTTATATAAAAATATCTATATAAAAAACAAGGGCTAAGAACAAAATCTGTGAAAATAATATCTTCTTGAATGGTGTCAGTCCTTGAGAGAGTGATAGGGATTCAGCTGCTTAAACAGAAGTTTCTGGTGACATTTTTCACACATTTTCCAGCATCCCATGTAGTCTCCAAAAAATGCAAGATTCTCCCTCAGATCCCGTGCAAACACTGGAAACATTTATACAAGACATCTGTCCATAAGTAACTGAATTCTTCCTCAAAACCTCTAAGGGAATATAGGAGTGCTGGAAAGAAAGAGGTCTGTCAAGCCACAATAGGTGAATTGTCTCAGAGCAGCAGATCCCTGGAGACAGATGGTTGAAACCAGTGTTCATCTGGGACACTCACTGTGAGTTTGGTCTCATGACAACTCAGCAACTCTAAAAAAAAAAAGAAGGATCTGAAATTTGTGACCAATACAGTACCAAGATCTTGTCCATGTGCTCGTTCATTTCCTTGGACAAAAAGGAGGGAATAGCCAACGTAGATCTGGGATGTCCCACGTGGGCACGAAGGAATCTTGGTTGACTGACTGTGCCGGGTGAAGATAAAACCTCTTCTTGTTGGACCAGCAGTGGCAGTACCTGGGGATCCAGGTAACCCCTGCAGACCTGGAAAGCCAATCAGTCCAGGTTGTCCTGTGGAGGGGAAATAAACGTGAATGCAAATATCATCATTTTGTTTGAATTTTTGCTTCATTTAAATTAGTGAAACCACTTCAAAACTAATAAAAGAGGTGTCAGTAAGAAGATACAACTCGACAATTGGTAGTATTCCTTACGAGATATACGAACTCTTCCAGACCTAGCTCAGGTAGCTTTACACTGCATAGTTTCATGGAATAGTGAGGTATTTTAAAGAACCACGGCCATATTTACAAAAAAAAAAATAGCTTAAAAACACTTTGTTGTGCCTGAATGAAAACCTTTAGTTCTATTTGGACATACTAATAAGGCACCCCATTACTTAGGGATTTCAGAGCAGCACAGTCAAGGTATATTTTAGTAAATTATTTACAGAAATCAGCAGTCCAGTTTATCTGTGAATTCAGTAGTACCAGTCTGAGAGAGATGTCTTGCATTGCTGTACCTCTTTCTCCTGGAAATCCTCTGTCTCCTTTTGGACCAGGCAGTCCTGGGTGACCTGGATGACCAAAACTTCCTGGCAGACCTTTTACTCCTTTGGGTCCTATATTGGGATCAACAACCAACCAGAAACACATTAGAGTAGCTACTGCTAGATTTTAATAACTGTTGAAGAATAAAGGTAAAATCCCCACATAAATGTAGCTGGGTTGGAATAAAAACACGAGCATGAGTTTACTGGGGTTTGAGATGATGGCAGTAGCACTGCAGTCAGTGTTTCCTACCAGAAATATTACAAGGAAACACTGACAAACATCCTGACCGCAGTTCTGGTTGTATGAACACAGTGAATGTTTTGATCCAAGTTTACTTATTATTCCACTGTGTTGCTTAGGCTTATGTTGAGGCACATATTCACTCACTCACTGCAAGGGTGGAGGGCAGGTGGAATGGGATGCATTATAAACAGAAGGGTGTTAACAAGGTACAAAAAGCTATTTTTGAATACGGTGAGGTTTTTTTAAAGACATGCCAATTTGCTCTGCAGAAGGATGCTTTCCCACCCAACCCAAATGTTCCACTGAGCAGCACATATAAACATGCACAGAGATAAAAATATAGATCACCTGGGAGCCCAGGAATCCCTTGAATTCCTTGATCACCTGGTGCTCCTGGCATTCCTGGCAGTCCAGGAGGACCCTTGCTTCCTGGGATGGAGAATACTCTCCCAGTGACTCCAGGAAGGCCTAGCAGCAAAAATATAATGAAGACCTATTGCTTTACATTAAAAGAAAGCAAACAAGCCACAGAACAAAACAAACAAATCAATTGAAGTCAGCTGGTATTGGAAGGAGAAGGGTTGGTTACCAGGCTGGCCCTTTGGTCCCCTGGGCCCTTCTGCACCTTGTGGTCCAGGGGGTCCTTGGTTCCCCTTTTCTCCTATAAAAGAAGATTGAAGATACATCTGTCTGGTTTAAAATGTCAAAACAACTGTCAGAGTTTCAGAGGCTTTTACTGAAAGGGTTCTGCATGATCCATGCAAAGTTCCCAGAGGGTAACACAGCCTGTAGACTCATCTGAAATATTAAAGTGGACTTCACCTCTGCTGTTTCTGTAGAATTGATGGATCAAGTGCACTTCCTTTACAGGAAGGTGTTGTTGTGCCTGCCTTTATACAATGGCTGGTCACATAAACCTAATTTAAAATCTCAGCTATGCCCTGAATATCTCACATGTTTCTGTCACCGAATTTACAGGTCAAGTGCTGCCTTCAGGTGCAGTTCAGCTCCTTTTAACCCTACTGTCAGTTATGCTGAAGGCTTTAAGTGTGTGGTGTAGCTTTTCCAGTGTCTGAAATTCAGTTTGGACACACCCATAGGATGTACCTCAATGAAAACACTTGCAGTGAGTGCTTTCATTTGGAGCTGACCTGCACCCTCATCTTCGTGGCAAAACCTCATGACTCTAGAACCACCCCTCACACTATTTAACAAATAATATTATAGCACAACATGGAAATGTTTGTTTCTGACACACAGAAGTGGACATAATAAGTAGATGAATACCTTTTACACCTGGGAATCCAAGAAATCCAGGGTTCCCTATGGCACCAGGATAGCCTGATCGACCTTCTATTCCCTGCCAATCAGATAACACCAGTAATAAACAGGAGCAGCATCTGCACACATTTTCATTGTGAAGCACATTTTCTGTTTGTTCAGAATATTCAAAACATTATGTTCACAGTATATGCTGCAACTAGAATTACCTGCTCCATTTTTGAGCGTGTTAGAAATAGTCACACCTTTGTTCACATTATTCTATATTGCAGAACACCCAAGGAAATGACATGCCAGAAATTCAAGAAAATTTCTTTTTTTGTCCATTAAAATCCATAAAACCTACTTCTCATATTCATTTTGGTCTTCCCTCCATTACAAGGGTTTTTTTTTTTGTAAGGATATGTGGGGGGTGGGTTTGTTGATTGGTTGTGGGTTCTGAGGGTTTTTTTTTATCATCATGGGTGTTATTTTCACGGTAAGAACAAATTATCAGTGCAGTAAGAAACAAGCAATATTCCTTTCACTGACTTTTGGACCAGGAGGGCCGATGTCACCAGCTGGGCCCGTTGGCCCTGGTATTCCATCCGCTCCTCTGACACCTTTGCTTCCTTTCAGGCTGGGAGTGGGAAGACCAGGAAGCCCTGGAAAACCAGGAGCACCTGTACAGAAACAGCAGAGTAGGTAAAGACTATTGCCAACAGCTTTACACACAGATTGCACACAACACAGGGAAACATTCAGTGACTCCACGATGATACTCATGGTCACCACCTCAGTGATTTCCAAGGAAATACACCCTTTAAAAAAAAATGATGAAAGACTTTTTCCTAGCCTGCCAATTTAATCTGAGATCAGAACTCTGAGTCCTTGCAGTGTTCAACAGCACTGCAGGTTTTTGAATATCCTTCAGTTGTAGTTAAGGCTGGAATCACAGAATCATTTAGATTGGAAAAGATCTTTAGGATCACCAAGTCCAACTGTAAACTCAACACTGCCAAATCCCCCACTGAAGTGTGTCCCTACGTGCCACATCTACACATTCTTGCTATCTCACCCTAAAGCTGGATCTCAGCTGCCCTACAGATCACATGGGAAGAAAAGAAGATAATGCAACTGAGTGGACTGCAAAGCTTAGAATTATTTTCATTTACATGCCACTGCACAGATCATCTTGTTGTTTGCAATGGTAAATTGCACTGACTGCCAAAGGAACTACCTGTTTAATTATGAAGCTCTCTTGGGAGAATACCCCTTTCAACCTTGAATTCTGGACAGGCTGACTTCTGCTCGCAATTATAGAACTTCAGATAAATAAGGAATTATAACAACACACCTGGTCTTCCATGTGTACCAGCAATTCCTCTCTCCCCTTTTTGGCCGGTGATTGCCATTCCTGTTGGGCCTTGAAATCCAGGTAACCCCACTAAGCCAGGAGGTCCAAGGGGTCCTTGATCACCTGGGTGGCCTTTCCCACCTGGAGGCCCAGGGAAACCAGGCAGTCCCATGTCCCCCTTGATTCCTGCAAAGAATTAAAGGTTATATTTCTGCACTTCAGAGGTTGCTCATCCCGAGGAATAAACTTGCGAGAAAGACCAGAGAAGGGAATATTTATTGGTGCTGAAGTAGAAGAAATGCTTCTATGTAAATCAGAATTAACAAATCCTTTTAAACTGAATTCCAGCTAGAAGCATCAGTATGAGTACAATAAAGTAAGAGACTACTCCAAAGGGATATTGTTCTGGAGCTGATTTTGGAGTGCTTTAAATTTACTTTTTTAAAGTAAAGCAAATCAATGGATTTCTACCAGCACTTGTAATAACATTTTTTATGTTTTACGTTGTAAGGGTTCCCTCAGTCAACTGTTCATCAATATAAAAAGGAAGATAAACAAAATTAAAATGCAATCACTGCAGCTTCCTGAGAGTATGCTCAGTATTCAGCAGCATCTTCTGTTTGCATGGGGGTATAGTCTATTAATCAAATTATGCATCACAGTAACATTTCAAAAGCTCTGGAATGTGTGTATGTCACCTTCACAAGACCAGAGAATTCTGATTTTTTATTTCCCTTTTACAAGAGTCTAAAGTTTACAAGGAACAACTCTTGACATTTAACATATAGGACCAAATCACTGATCAAAACCACAGAATGACTCTTGACTCCCTCTGACTCCCTTTCAAGCATCTGAAAGCAGGATTTGACTTAAAAAGATGGTGATTTGGGCATTTGTAAATTAAGGTTTTGCTTTATGAAAAGCCAACTCACCTCTACGACCAGGAATACCTCGAAGGCCGGGGATGCCTCTCCCAGGTGCTCCTACAAAATACAAGGTCACATTAAGTCCTAAATAATTGTTAGTTGTCTAATATCTCATACATTTCTTCAGAATTCACTGAATCAAAATGCAGGGTTCAGTTATATGTAAAATATAATTTATTATTTCCATTTCTTCTCTACAGAAACACAAATTAAACTTTTAAGTTTCTCTTTGTAGTGGGACCTCTTATTGTTCAATCATATTTGAGGTACATTCTACAATAATAAGCTTTTGTTGAACGTTTTCAGTGTAAACTGTGAAAACATTTTCTGTCAGGATTCAGTAGAGGGCTAATCTATCTGTGGACAAAGTTCACATCAGGAGTGACATTTAAATAAAAAGTTTTACAGCCCAAGGTCCATGTTATGAAAACCTTCATTATTCATGTAAGGAAACACCGTGATTCACTTTATTTCCATGTAAGACAGGAGACTCCTTTAAAAGGGTTTTGGTTCTTTTAATCTCAAGAGATTAAAAAGATGTTAACATCTTTAGGTGCCATTACCCCAAATCACATGTATAACAGAGCATTTATAATGCATTTGGGTTGTACAGCAAGTGCAGTAATTACATAGAAAAACCTGTGAATGACCTACTCATAAACTTATCTTTGGCTCCACAGAAGCTCTTTATTAATCCTTCCCAAATAATCCTTGTCAGTTTAATTATGGGGAAAAAACCCACAGTTGTAAAGTAGAATGAAAATATTTCCCTGGGGTTACCTGGTTCTCCCTTTGCTCCTGGGGGACCAGGCATACCATCCTGACCTTGAGCACCTCTTTCACCAACAAGCCCGTTTTTTCCAGGGACTCCAACAGCACCTGTGAATTGCAGTGGACCACAATATCATTTTCACTTCCATTATTCTGCATGTCACTGTGAAAAAACACGGTTCCCCCTTTATTAAAATTGATTTAGTTCAGCTGCTTCGAAGATACCAAAGATGTGTTGGTACATAAACACTGGGAAAGTGTATATAAACACTGGTACATAAACACTGGGAAAGAGCAGGATATGGTTTTTATTGAGCTCACTGAACTCCGATGGATTCAACACCCTCACTGTTTTCACAGGCAATGCACACCTGCCTCTCTCTTGCTACAGATTTACACACTGTCCCTTTGGTATATTTTTAATTCTGTTTTAGTTGTTTCTTTAACAAACAACTACAAATGTGGCCCCTCTTTCTGCTTTATTTTTCCTCTGCTCATCTAGCTATATCTTAGCTTATTATTGTCTTTTAGGAGGTAGAGCAAGCCTTTCTTATAACTGTGTGGACAGCACATCGTGAGACCTCTGGATATATATTAAAAAATAAAAAAGGACAAAAAGCTTTGCAGTACTGAAACAGAATTAAAGCTTCTTGCCTCAGCTGAACTGATAACATTGAAAACTGGCTGTTAAAAATCTTAGCTGGAACCAGAGGAGGTAAACAAAGCCTTGAGCTGAAATAAAACCCCAAAGCAGGGGGTAGTGATTCAGGAGAGATGCTCTGTACCATACCAGGAGGGCCTGGAACGCCCTGCTGTCCTGGGTGGCCCTGCTGTCCTTTCACACCAGCATCTCCAGGGGGTCCAAAATTCCCTGTGGGAACAGAGAGTGCAGGAGAGGAGAAGAGGCATCATCACTGGGTGCAGGCTCAGTTTGAGAGCATTGCTGTCGTTTCAGCTTGGCCCAGCTGAGAAGGGGATCTGGGAGGCATCAGCTGGCCTGGCTGTGCTGCCCAGGAAGGAGTTGGGAGGGTATAAATGTGCCACCCCACAGCACTGGGGGCAGTTTAGTGAGAAACTTCCCCCACCCCACCAAAATCCCCCCTACCTGGGATTCCTGCACCTCCAGTGTCCCCTCTGATCCCGCGTGGTCCTGGGACTCCTGTACGTCCAGGAGGACCCTGGGATCCTTTCTCTCCTTTGCTGCCAAGAAATCCTGGAGGGCCTGGATCTCCCTGAGGAGCAGCAATTGCACACCAACAGGTGAAAAGTCACATACATTAAATACACTGCATTCCATATTTGAACAATAGAAAAATCCTGTGCACTTTTAAAGGCTGTGTAATCATGCCTCGTTATGATTTTCAGACAAAAATCAAAGCAGACTACTGTGAGATCTTCTCACAATGCCACTGATCCTTTAGACATAGCTAAGAAACAAAGAGCTATCTTGAACCTGTACAAACCAAGTTCTGTCTAGAGATATTTTCACTGGCATGTAGACTTCCCTGCAATTTTATTCTAACAGCTTCTCTTCTGATCTAAACATACATTCCTTACATAATCTGCAGTATATATGACCAAACATAATATATATTGAATTTTGCTAAGAAAAAAATAATCTTGTGCCAGGATATTCCTAGACTTTCAAAACCAAACAGTACAAGTTGAGATTACGGAACTGTGGCACTTGCTAAGGTGATTTTTAATGTACAAGTATTCCTACTGCTGACTTTTTCAGTGCAAGTTCTTGTTCTTAATCGATTAGGGAGTTTTATAGTAATGAAGTTATTTCCAAGACGTTCCATCTTTACAAATAAGAAATTTTTGCGCCAAAAAAAGTGAAGGGTATTTAATGAATTAAAAAAACTTCTCCTGAGTAATGACATAACAGAATTCTCATATTTCATATCACTAACAAATAACCTGCTTCTGCAAACTCTGCAGCTCTTGCTTACATGCTGTTCTGTTTCTATTTTCAAAGCCTCTGCTCATTGCCTAATGGGACAATTTTTCCACTGCATACCTTCGGACCACCTTCTCCTGGAGGCCCAACAGATGGGTACCCAGGATCTCCTTTGTCACCTGGAAAGCCACCGTAGCCTGGCAGCCCAGGGTCACCTGATGGTCCTGGAAAGCCTGGAGATCCTTTCTGCCCTTTTGGACCTGATGAAAAATACAGATATTGATCCCATTCTTAAAGGGATCATAATTGCATATCACACGTTGCGTTTGTGAAGTACTGCTCACGTATTCAGATATTAATTCTTCAATAAAGTAATTTACAGAGCCAGCGTTTTTATTTCTAAATGTATTAAAAAGAGGTTCTTACATTTAAAAATATATAAATTAAAAGAGATCTATTTCATTTAGAGAGAGAGGGAGAAATTCATTCTGCCAGTGCTGGGTTGGTGGTAAGTCTGTAGGTACTGCAAAGAATAAATCTAATTGTTGTGTGGTGTGTTTACAGGAACAGCTCAGTCCTGTGCAAATGCTTCTACACAGCTTTATAAACTTCTAATATGGCTTGACAGAAAATCACCTGGAATTCCCATGTCCCCTTTTTCTCCTGGTGCACCTGGAGATCCATGTTCACCAGGAATCCCTGGAAGACCCATAAATCCTTTGACACCTGCAAGATGAAGAAATAAGTGTCATCTTCCCATGTTTTCTTTAGACACCGGCTGGTGGAGCTGTCATGAATACAAATCTTCTACCATGCCCCTTCTTTTTGGTATATCACTATTTTATAAATAATCAACATGCAGCCTCTAGCCCCAGACACAGATAAAATTATCATTATTGTTGTCAGAAAGTCAAAGAAATAACAAACACCTCATGTATCAGCATTAAAATTGAGTGATTTGTGACCTCAGCACTTCAGGGCAGGAACTGAAATGCACTTCTGCAGAATTTGATCAAGACCCTGTATTTGTATTTGTGCACTGGACTCTTCTCTCTCTGTCCCCACAATTCAGTTTGGTTTCTGGGCATGTCACAACACATAATTAATTACTCACTCATTATGGACTTCTCATGAGTAGTATGTAATGAAAACCTCCTGAGTGTGATTTAGGCACTTTTCCCCCCCACTCACTTATCTTTAAATTAGTTTAGCTAAATTAGCATTCAGTTTAATGACTGCAAGATCTAGATGCAACTAGAACGTTTTTGAACATTCTCTCCAAATTCCAGAGTACTTTTGTTGAAAGTCTGCAAAATTTCAAAATACAACCCAAACATGTAGTCTTTGAAAAGGAAAAAAATAACCTGAAATTAAAAAAGCTTCTAAAATGTTTTTGTGCACAACTGTGATATTGATATTTTAGAATTATTTTTTAAATAATATCAGTAATTCAAACTCCACCTTTTATAAATATTAACTTTTATTCATTGGCTCCATCAGCTTTTAGATTTAAAAGTTATCGTCATTCAGGATTTAATGTTATTTTCTATTTGTCACCCCAAACAATGGTCTATATTTGAAAGGGAACAAAGAATCATTTGGTGGGACTTTCAAACAGCAGTTTTTGAAACTGCTGTTTCAAAATTTTTGGAAAGACTGCAGAGTTAATGGAGAGAAGGCGGTGCTGCTTCTGGAGCCAAGCTGATGTGCATGGAGGCAGCAGGATCTCACTGCCCACGTGACACAGGAATTTTCAATATAAATATTTCATACCTGGCAGACCAGGTATTCCTTCAGACCCATCAAGACCTGGGGGACCTGGCACACCCACATCTCCTTTTTCTCCCCTTAGACCCGTTCTTCCTGGAACTCCTAAAACAAAGGTTCATTACCAAAATAAATTACAAAACAACCTCTTAGAATGTAAGTTTTTGGCAAAGTTTAAAATGTTATCACTCTTAAAGCTGATGGAACAGAAGCAGAGCGTAGATTTTTCACACATAAGCGAAACACAGACTCACATTTAATGCCTTCTGTAATTTTCATGTGGAGACCTGAAAGCTTCCATAGGAAAATATGAGCACAAAAAGCCAGATGGAATTAATTAAGCATGCACAACTCATTTACAGAGAGTCCATATGAATATTGCAGGCAAAGGAGTTCTTCTGACTGCCAGGTATTCCTGAGCAGATTCCACATCTTTGCAATCCAACACCCAGTTGGGGAGAGCACCCATTTCTGTGCACAGGATGCTAAATGTGTAAAACACGAATCTATAGCATATATACATGTGTATGTATATTTATATATATCTGTATATAAGCCTCCTGGTACCATTGACATGTTATTACTGCTATAGCATTAAAATAAGAGGTTTTTAAGGGAATAAGGGCTGGTTAAAATGGAAATAAATATTCAGTGTAATATCCACCTGTCCCATAAATAAGAAGGCAGTTACAGCATTTAGCAATAATTATTTCAGAGCCATGTGAATACTCTCAGTAGTAGATTCAGTTTGTTCCATGTTTTAGAGTCCCCTGGAACTGCCACATAAATGACAACCCTGGCTAGTCTGGGCTGACAGCACGATCAATGGGTACCTTTTAAGCCTCGTTCTCCTTTCTCCCCGATACCAACCAAGGTCTCAGATGGCCCAGGGAAACCTTTATCACCTGGTTCACCTTTTTCTCCAAGAAATCCTTTTCTTCCCTTTATTCCTGGGAAGCCAGGAGAGCCTGCAAGAAAAATAATCACATTTTCTGAAGAAACACGACTAGATGACAGAATAAATGAAGCAAAGTGAGAGCCAGTCTTCAAGGGCAATTGTAATTTACCCATGTAAATATACATCCCAAATCAGCAACCTAAACTAGCTTAACTACTCCTGCCATCAATAAAACATCTATGGTACAGATTATGGCAAGAGGTGGGAATGATTTCTTACACTGAATATACATATAATGGTGTATCTGTTCAAGAGATTAATAATGGAATCCTTATGGAGTGGAAAGAACAGAGCAAAAAACTCTCTGCTCTTTATTTAGCAAATCACCAGCCACATTTACAAGCACCAATGAATTACTTGCCTCTGATGCCCGGGTTGCCTGATCTTCCCATCACACCAGGGGGTCCAGGAATTCCCAACAGGCCCATTATACCTGGCTCTCCCCTTGAGCCTGTGGAATTGAAGCAGTTGGAACATATCTGTTAGTATTTTATCAGCTAAACAGAACATTACTTCAGAAAACTACACACATGTCTGTAATTTCAGTGTTTAACTGCCTTTTTTTTTTTTTCCTCTCCATTTCTGTAACTGTCCAAGAGAGTTTTCCCATCTTTAACCACAGGAATGGGACTTACAGCTCCCAAACTACAGAAATTGGGAGCTGCAACAGCTTCTATCAATTGACAGTGAGAATAATGACCAACAGGCATGAGGTGTATGGGAAGGACAATCCTTTCTGGCTCAGCTGGGACACAACAACTCCCCTCAAATGACAACAGAGGTCCATGTTTGCATAACTGAGCCAAGTGCTACATATTTAACATAAATTTTACAGATTCTCTCTATAAAAAGGTATGAACCATCTCCTTCCCACAGAATAATGTTGTGATACTAAGGAAAAATCTTTATGAGAAATCAGAAGCATTACATGAGTGATTTATTTTATTCTTCAAATCAGGTTTGAACACATTTCTGAAAAAAACCCAAATAAATCCAAGTCAACCCCACAGGAATTACTTCCCTTACCTAAAGTTATCTCTGGTTAATGACAGATCTGACTCAACTCTGTCAGATTCAAGATCTGAACTTACTTTTTGAGACAAAGAAGGTGGCATTACAAGCTATCTGTTTGAAAAGGGATGATGAAAAAGAACTATTTCATGTGCTACAGCAAGGACATTACTGTACAAGAAAAAATGTAAAATTCTGCTCAGAGAAGACAGTTATAGAAAACTCCATACTGCTTCACAACAGCTTCAAAATATGCTCATTATTTAAGGAAGTTTTCCATGTAGATGTCAAAGATATATAAAAGCTACTGATGGAAAAATATTGCAGCATCTTCAACCTGGAAAAGCAGGACTGAAACTTTTTTGCAAAGATGACTTAATTGCTATGTCAAAACAAGTGTTTGGGGAATCCTTACCTGGCACCCCAGAAATTCCTGGCCTTCCAGGCTGTCCCCTGGGACCAGGTAATCCTGCATTTCCCTGAAGACCTGTCAGTCCAGGTTCCCCAGGCTTCCCATGGATTCCTGGGATGCTCAAGCCAGGAGGTCCTTGTCTTCCTTTTGAACCTTGGGAGCCTCTTGCTCCTACAAAAAATGCACGACAGCGTAGTTGGTGCATGTCTGAAAAATAAACCTTCATCTCTGTCTTGCCATCATGACCATGACACTCTTCTTGAACTCTGTTGGAGGGCTAAAATATTAGATCTGTGAGACAACATTCATGTTCAGAAAATCTTAGAAGGGCTGAAGGTTGAGCTTTTTAGGACTCCAAACTGTTTTCCTGACTAGCTGAGCTCTTCCTATATTTCTTTGTCGGTCACATTGCACCACAGAATCTAAGTTTGGTCCCACAGTTCACATGACTGAAATATCCTTTTTCCTGTGGAATTTGATTCGATTACTCTTTACACTGTACAGCAGAATCTGAATTTTAAGCCATCTTTGTCAGTGCATTTGCTTCCTCCCATCTGCAGAAAGGTCATCTTTTAAATGGGCTCATGTTTTCTTGCACACTATTCCATAACCAACATCCAGAAACAATTTCAGCTCCCTCAGGCCGTTGGGAGGCAGGAACAGATCCCAAAGTCACCCAAGCCAAATGACACTTTTGGTTCAGAAAATTCTACCTGGTGGGCCCGTAGCTCCCTGGCCACCTGGCAAACCTGGCAGGCCAAGAAGACATTCCGCAGGTTTCCCTGGAAAACCCGGATCTCCAGGAACTCCAGGGGAGCCACGATCTCCTGAAAGAAAGGAGATTGGATTCACAACTGGATTCAGTAGAAGTTTCAGGCTTTCAGCGAGATTGTTTGACTTGGCTTTCCATAAAATAACTCGCTGTGCTCCTGGAGCTCCTTGGACAATTTACCTCTTAGGCCATCGGCACCACCACGTCCAGGATGCCCTGGGGAACCTGGAAGTCCTGGAAGTCCACCTTCCCCTTTTGAGCCAGGAATGCCATGACCTCCTGGTGAGCCCAGTCTGCCTGGCTCTCCGGGAATAACCACGCCTGGGTCACCCTGCGACACAGAGTGCAATGTAAACAATCTGCTATAAGTCTGCCAAAACGTTTTCTCCACTGTGGGAACATTTAACTTATTTCTTTAGAGTAATTCTCTTTATTTCCTGTGGATCTTTCACACTATAATTTCTGATGGCTTCAATTCAGAGACCAATGGATATTCCCTATTGACCAGCTGCAGGTTCCACACCAGGGCAGTAATTCCTCTAGAGAGCATTTAAACTTTGTCTCCTAACTCTAAAAAGTTGCTGCTGAGCAATGCAAGATAATTCACCCCATTTGGTTTTTACTGCATTAGGATGCTTTCTGCAGCTGTGAAAAGCTTTGGGTCTCTGTCTGAAAGTATGGTTGAAGTTTGTGCAAATACAGTTTTTCCTTTATTTTTATATGATAGCCATATTTTTATCATAAAATATTTATCTAAATAATCCAGGTCAGCACCCAGGTATGTCTCAGAATATTCAGTCAGTTGTTGGTTGTTTGTGTGTTGTTTTTTTTTTAAATCATTCTCCTGAGCATTGTTTTCCATGAGGAGTAGTTTTATCACAAATGTCCCAAATGTATTCCCTGTCTGGAAAGTTTGAATTAGTGGAGTTTTTTTTTCTGGTTGTCTTGAGTAGCAGCTTTGTGTATCAATGAATCAATATGTTCATAAAGCAGGTCAGTAGACCTGAGCTTCTACCAGTCACTGATGATATCCTTGGACCACAGAGGTCACTTCACGTCCAGCTGTTCTGTGGCATCAAATAGGTTAAATAATAACAACAAAAACAACAACAACAATAATAATAAAAATCCCACAGCCTCAAATCCCTCACTTTGTTGTATCAAAAACCACACAGAAGAATGGCATATAAGCAAATACCAAAAAAAAAAAAAATAAAAAAAAAAAAAGAAATGCCACTTTATCCAAACATTTAGGTGTTATTTCGTTCAAATTTGAATCCTGATTGCAGAGTAGTAAAGAACCTTACATTTACATATTCCAGCATATGCTTAATTGCAGCTTCTGAGCAGCTATCTTTTCAGAAGCCTGTGAACCTCATTTTTTTCCCATAAGCAATGCAATATCATCCTTGTGCCCCGAAAACTGAAGCAGGAAAACTTCCAAACACTTCGGAGCTCCAGAATTCTTTATTAGAATTTAAAATTTTGGCTTGAGCCCCTTTTTATATAAAGAATTAAATTTTCTAAGTTGTTCATCACTGGTCAGGAAATATAGAAACTCTTGTATTCCTTACATTTCCTAATTTATTGGGAATAAATTGGGACCTGTAGAGAAGTCTGTGCCGTGTTTTTAACCAAACCTTTTCTCCTGGCTGTCCCAGGTTCCCAGCTCGGCCTGGATCTCCAGTCTTCCCTTCACAACCCGGTTCCCCTCTGCCTCCTGCAAGTCCTTTCTCTCCTGCAGAAGGGGTTAAATGGCATTTTTTAAAAAAGTTGAGCTATTCTGATGTCCTTTTCCTACTTTTCCTGCTTTCTTCAACAAGCACCTGGGTAGTAGTTTCAGCATCAGAGCTTTTAATTTTTTTCATCCTGTCCTTAACAGGATTTTGAGAATTTCTAAGCATTTGAAATGTTCAAAGGAGGCTTTGCACAAGAATGGCCAAATTTCCAGTATTCAAAATGCTTTCTATTACCTGCATTGTACAGAACCAAAAGCAATTTAAAATAACTGGCAGTTACACAGCTCTGTCTCTGCAAACACATATCCAGGTAAAGAGAACCCCCCTGAAGTAAGTGTGGCACTCAGATGAGATGGTTGCACCTGTTTGGGCACTGTTCCAGAACTCATCAGTGTCTTAAAATACCTTCCTTCTGTCAGCTTTGATATTTGGGTACTCTGAAATACTTCAAAATATTTCAAATTTGCAATTTCTAAGACTTAAGGCTGTAAATTACAAGACTGCTAAGAACATTTAGCTGTCTGGCAACTGTTCATTGATTTATTTTTTTTAACTTGCTGATTACTTTTAGGGTATACAAAAAAAAAAAAAAAGGTAAATTTTTTTGGCTTTGGTTTTTTTTGAAAGATCAAAAGGAGTGTATTTTACCTTTTGGACCTGGGTTTCCAGGAAACCCAAGCCCTGGATAGCCTGTGTCACCAGTTGGCCCTGAATGTCCTGAATCACCTGGCTGACCTCTTGCTCCAACCCTACCTGTGCAAAGAAAGAAAATAAACTGTGAGGTATCTTACCACAGAACATCAGTTTGTAAGGTCAGCTGTGTTCTAATTTACCATTCTTGATTAGGACATGTGTAGATTATATTAGAACTTAGACACTATTTCTCCTCCACTGCAGGTTTGCACAGTTAAATGCTAATTGCACTCAGTGTCAAAGCAGGAACGAGTCTGTGAATTGTTTTAATGCAATCTGGCCAAATTCCAGACTCCTGGGAACAGCTACATGCAGATATAAATCTTCCACTTGTTGAGAGGATACAAACACATATTATTGGAACAGAAGCTACCATAAAGCTGTCAAAATATTTTCTGTGCTGTTCAGGGCAGTTTTAAGGACTATTATTCTACAGAACCCACACCAAGATACATTACAATTACCCTGTCACTTACTATCCTTTGGTTCATTCCGAAATTCTGCAAAATTTCAAACACCAGCAACCAAAAAAGAATCCTACCTGAAACCCCTCCCCAAAAAAAGGGAGACTCGGGTTAATATTTTAGTTTAAGGGTTAGTAGAAGTCANAAAAAAAAAAAAAAAAAAGAAATACCACTTTATCCAAACATTTAGGTGTTATTTCGTTCAAATTTGAATCCTGATTGCAGAGTAGTAAAGAACCTTACATTTACATATTCCAGCACATGCTTAATTGCAGTTTCTGAGCAGCTATCTTTTCAGAAGCCTGTGAACCTCTTTTTTTTCCCATAAGCAATGCAATATCATCCTTGTGCCCCGAAAACTGAAGCAGGAAAACTTCCAAACACTTTGGAGCTCCAGAATTCTTTATTAGAATTTAAAATTTGGGCTTGAGCCCCTTTTTATATAAAGAATTAAATTTTCTAAGTTGTTCATCACTGGTCAGGAAATATAGAAACTCTTGTATTCCTTACATTTCCTAATTTATTGAGAATAAATTGGGACCTGTAGAGAAGTCTGTGCCGTGTTTTTAACCAAACCTTTTCTCCTGGCTGTCCCAGGTTCCCAGCTCGGCCTGGATCTCCAGTCTTCCCTTCACAACCCGGTTCCCCTCTGCCTCCTGCAAGTCCTTTCTCTCCTGCAGAAGGGGTTAAATGGCATTTTTTTTAAAAGTTGAGCTATTCTGATGTCCTTTTCCTACTTTTCCTGCTTTCTTCAACAAGCACCTGGGTAGTAGTTTCAGCATCAGAGCTTTTAATTTTTTTCATCCTGTCCTTAACAGGATTTTGAGAATTTCTAAGCATTTGAAATGTTCAAAGGAGGCTTTGCACGAGAATGGCCAAATTTGCAGTATTCAAAAATGCTTTCTATTACCTGCATTGTACAGAACCAAAAGCAATTTAAAATAACTGGCAGTTGCACAGCTCTGTCTCTGCAAACACATATCCAGGTAAAGACAACCCCCCTGAAGTAAGTGTGGCACTCAGATGAGATGGTTGCACCTGTTTGGGCACTGTTCCAGAACTCATCAGTGTCTTAAAATACCTTCCTTCTGTCAGCTTTGATATTTGGGTACTCTGAAATACTTCAAAATATTTCAAATTTGCAATTTCTAAGACTTAAGGCAGTAGATTACAAGACTGCTAAGAACAGTTACCTATCTGACAAATGTTCATTGATAAATTAATTTTTATTTACTTACTAATTATTTTTAGGGTATACAAAAAAAAAAAAAAAGGTAAATTTTTTTGGCTTTGGTTTTTTTGAAAGAAGATCAAAAGGAGTGTATTTTACCTTTTGGACCTGGGTTTCCAGGAAACCCAAGCCCTGGATAGCCTGTGTCACCTGTTGGCCCTGAATGTCCTGAATCACCTGGCTGACCTCTTGCTCCAACCCTACCTGTGCAAAGAAAGAAAATAAACTGTGAGGTATCTTACCACAGAACATCAGCTTGTAAGGTCAGCTGTGCTCTAATTTACCATTCTTGATTAGGACATGTGTAGATATTATATTAGAACTTAGGCACTATTTCTCCTCCACTGCAGGTTTGCACAGTTAAATGCTAATTGCACTCAGTGTCAAAGCAGGAACGAGTCTGTGAATTGTTTTAATGCAATCTGGCCAAATTCCAGACTCCTGGGAACAGCTACATGCAGATATAAATCTCGGTGAACAACTCTCCTATGTTTGTGTATAATAACCTTGTCTTCGATGGTATTTCGACAGTTTTATAAAAGACACGACAAGTCCCGTCAAAATTCCTGATAATAAGATGTCTTGGGTGTGGTTCTATGTAATGTTAATGGGACAGTGAATGATAGGAAACCAAGTAAGGCTTTAAGACGTTTTAAAGTTTGTGGTCGTTGCAAAAAAGAATCCTACCTGAAACCCCTCCCCAAAAAAAGGGAGACTCGGGTTAATATTTTAGTTTAAGGGTTAGTAGAAGTCAGAAATTAAGCAGGAACAGAGTAATGCTGTTAATTCTTTGACTGTGCCTCCGAGGGCTTCATCAAGATTAAGAATGCTTTCACTTAATTTTATTCCTTCTGTTTTAAAGGTTGCAGCAGTCCCAGTGTAATTTAGGATATGCTTTTGTCAGAACTATGGCAGAAGCACCTTTCTGGATGTACAAGCTGCAGCACATGCAGCACATGTTTCTGGTTCTTGGAGAAACCAACTCAGAGCACAGGATTGCTCAGAATTTCTGCCACACTGCACACCTTGCACATGGCCCTGTGTGCCCTTCCTATTCAAACTCTTTTCCACTGTTTTTCTTGAAAGGGAATGTTGCAGCTAATTCCAAAGTTTCTGTACCACAGAAATCCTTTTTAGAGTTTTTTTGAAAGCAGCCCAACAGTTCTAGCTGGCCAAAGCTGGGAGAGAAATCCCAACCAGTTTATCCCTGATTTTTCCTGTATTTGGTGCAGATGGACTCACCAGGCACTCCTGGGGGTCCAGGTAAACCATCTGGTCCTTGAGGTCCTGGCAGTGCAGGTAGTGGAGTTGCCCTACTGGTCTCTCCTTTCAGACCTTCAGCAAACATAAAATCAAACATTACAAAGGCATATATAGCTTGGAAATATGTAATCTTGAGCATTTAAAAATATTACTGATCAATCTAATAGGTTAAAAATGCAGTCCTCTACGGTTTCCATGTCTCTGAAAATCCAACAGACTCTGAAAAGCCTTCAAATCCTGGCTTCATAAAGTAAAATCATTTTATAGACACCACCTGCAGTCTTCCTCTCAGCCCTCCTGCAAATCTACTGGAGACCCAGAAAAGGAAGCCCAGAGTCACAGGGAAAATGATGCCCTTGAGAAATGCTTAATCTGCAGCTCCATGGGCATTATCTTTAAGCCACCTTGACTGTATCTGCCATTCAACTGAGTTCTTCCAGATTTTGCTGCCTGTAAATACACACCCTGGTGTGTTTTCAACACTCAGAAATTATTATGCCCTTCATATTTTACCCTGCTGATTTAGCTCGCACTACTGATGATGACTGGATGTTTAAATGCTTGTTTTTTCCACAATGAGGACAGTCAAGCACTAAAACAGGGATAATGTGCTGTCTTTGTCCTTGGAGGTTTTCAAGGACTAACGGGATAATGCCATGAGTATCTGACCTCATAGGTGTCCCCGATCTGAGCAGCACTTTGGAGTCAAGACTGCACAGAGTCCCTTCCAACCTCAATCACCTCATGAACCCGGGACTTTTCCTATTATCTTCAGGGGGACCTAAGTTGGAACAACACTATGGAAACATCATGGAAAGGAAAAGCATCCTCTGTTTTCAAAATAATGTCTTCCTCTGCAATTTTAATCAACTACTCTTTAACATTGGTAAAACAGGGTAAAATAGGAAGTGACAAACCAGCTTCTCCAGGCAATCCAGGTGGGCCTGGTATTCCTTTAGAGCCTTTAAAACCTCTTATTCCTGGTGGTCCATATCCTGGCAGTCCAGGAAGCCCCATTTCTCCAGGAAGACCAAATCTGCCAGGCAATCCAGGTAGTCCTCTGTCTCCTTTGGAACCAGCCAATCCCTAATGATTACACAGTAAACCAAGCATTACTTGCTTTCCACACCAGCTTTCATAATAAAATGCCTAATTCTCTGACTATAATCTTCTATTATTTTAGTAACAGAGTAGCCCTGCTAATTTAAGAGAAATTTTCCCTCTGATTTACTTGTGATTAAAGGAATATAAATTTTAATATCAATGGTTACAAATACAGGGCTACTAAGAGGGAAATAGTGAACAGAGTATTGTGCAAGATAAAATACTGACAGGTTTTCATGACTTCTGTATTAATTACAAACAATGCACACCCACCTCTTCACCTTTAGAGCCCTTGGATCCTTTGGAGCCAGGTCTTCCCAGGAATCCACTTGCACCTCTTCTTCCTTTGTCTCCCCTGGCTCCTGGATCTCCTCGCTCACCTTTGGGCCCTTCTGGATAGACATATCCTGGCTCACCTTTGGATCCTTTCTGGCCTTGATCTCCTCTAAGGCCTGGAGGTCCCTGGAACAGAGCAAGCAAAACAATTTTGGTGCTAGACATATGTCAGCTGTTTCCAAGTTTGGGGTTTTTGTGTGTTTGTTTGTTTTTTAATTAAGTACCTCAGATGGGCTCTCTTCCTTCTCATGCTTATTCACCGTAATGGCAAACAGGGGTTTGCATTTGTTTTTTAATTTTTCTCCTGCCTTTACTCCTTTTGGACTTGATTATCATTACATTTATGCTACTACAAGATGGAACGATGCAGGATAATGTAGGACCATGGCACAAAAAGAAGGACAAGACAGTGCCTTAAAACCTGATTAGAGGTTTTTCCTCCCCATGGAAATATCTGCCCAGGGGACACTGGATGTGCCACAGCTGGCTCTACCTCACCCCCCAGGCAGGCACTCATTGCCACCTGAACAAAACCTCTTGAGATCACCCAGTAGGACACTGCAGGTAGCACAAGCCACAAGGTTTCTCTGAACTAATTCTTGTGGGATCTGGACATTAGTCTGAAAAAAAACAAAGTCTTACTTGAGCCCCTGGGAACCCTGGTGCTCCTGGAGAACCTGGAGAACCTTTTGGACCTGTTATTCCTTCTCTACCTGTGAAAGAAACGGTGTATTTTGTAAAGAAGAATGAAAGAAAGGACATGGGTTTTGCCAAGCTCAGCACTGAATGTTTCTGCTCATTACATTGACTGCATCATCCTGGACTGACTCAGCTTCAGGCTGTGCCTGAGCCTATCAGCACTCTGACTTCTCCTGTGTGTTTGTGCTCCTCTCAGCAGATGGAGCTGCATCAGGATCTCCCTCTCATCACCAGCTCAGGGCTGATCCCAGGGCTGCCTGCTGCAGACATGCCCATACCTGACCCTCATGCTTCCAGCAAAATCATTGGCATTTCCTATTACCCTGTTAGGAACAGTGAGATCATTTACCAGGCGTGCCATCCTGACCACGTGGCCCAGGAGAACCAGGAAGACCAGGTATTCCTGGAATGTAGCTGCAATCAACACACACACCAGCATCATCACCTAGAATGGAAAGAATTCATTATTGTTCCACAGCAAATCACTGTCAAGCTTAACTAGAGTGCTAAATAGTTTGTTATAGAGGATAGATAACAATTTTGGCCAGAGAGCAGTAGGATCATGATCTTAATTTTTTTGGAAGATCACTTCCAACACAGTATTTAGACGGCAAAACAGAACTGACTACATTTAATCAAGAAGGCAGGAACATTTGGTTTCAATCTCTTGGTTTTTTCAAGTCAAGCTTTAGTAAACAATTTTGATACATTCACTCTACTGATAAGTCAAACTCTCCTGAAAGAAGGATGGAAAGTGCTCGTTGAACTAACATGGCTCTGGGACAGCCAGGGTCATTCTGAGGGCTGACAAAAAGAGAGGAGATTAAACAGCTCCTCTGAGTGAAATTTGGAGAAGGAAGCTCCTTTCCAAGACTAAATGTTAGCATGGATCATACCAACAGAAGTGTGCAAAACCCTCCCAGTCTGGGATAGTTGTTTGCTCCAGTGAATGAATTTTCTTAAATCTCTGAAATCGTCAGATGTCTTGAAATGAAATTAAGATGAAAATCACTGGATTTTACCATCTACTTGTGAGTGATAGTTTTCTGGAACTGACCTTTCATGCCAGTATCTCCTGGAGGTCCTGGGGGTCCTACACATCCTGGTTCTCCAGGAAATCCCGGCAGGCCTGCTCTGAAAGTTACTCTACCTGTTAATGAAATGAGCAGGGCACCATTATATCAGCAGCTTATTCAGACAATTCTCGAGTTGTTAAGAGAGAAAAAAATTGCAGGCATGAGCTGGAGACAGTATTCTGATCCTTATAGTTCCTTTCCAACTTGAGATATTCTGTGATTCACTTAAAAGAGAGAACTACCTGGAAAAATCCAAACCACCTTCAACCAGAAGTACTTGAGGTAATGGTAATGCCAGAGTAAATCTCAGCAGATTATTGGATCCATCTGTATAGATTTTAAAAAGCATGATCCCTTCTGGAGAAAGTATTTCCAGCTCATTTGAATCAATAGGAACATAATTCTTCCTTTTACCACAAATGGAAGGTAAACTTTTTATTAAGGTTAAATTATTAATGCTGTTCATTTGTCTCTTTCACAGAATTATTCTGCTTCATTTACTGTTACTTTAGAAAAACAGAACATGCATCAAGCTCTTCCTAAGCTAATTATAAACTGCTACTGATACATTTTCATGCTGCCAGAACTTCAGATCTGCTCTAAGGCACACTAAGGCCCCTGGAGGTGTGCAAGTTCTCTGTTTCTCTAGCTTTCAGATTAGCCCCTTCTAAATTTAGTTTTACAGATTTACTACAACTTTTGGAAGAGTTAATTTTAAGAACAATTTTTCTCTTATTGGTCGTTCTTGGGTTTATGTAGAATATTTTTACAGTCACAGTTATACCAAAAGGTGAGAAATCTTTATGTTGGGAGGTCATCATGGATTCCCATATAAACTCACAGGCAAAGGAGCACAGACCTTTGCTCCATACATTCATGTTTTCATGGATATCCCAAAACAAAATTTCCAAAAGAATTTATATTCAATCACAGTACTCAAAATATACTCTACAAGTGATGTATTTGCATGATCTCCTGCATTAGATATTAAGATGACTCTGGATTTGTTCTTCTTCAGGATAAACACCCCACTGACACGTCACCTGGTTCTCCTGGAGGACCTGGCAATCCAACAGAACCAGGTCTGCCCGTAACACCAGCTGGTCCTGGAGGGCCCACAATACACAAGCCACTTTGTCCTTTCTCTCCTTTTGTTCCTTTTGGCCCAGGAAATCCTGGTGGGCCTCTCAGACCGGGTCTTGACACGCCTAACCAAGAAGAGAAGATACAGAAACAGAGTTAAAGAAGAAGAGGAATTTACAGCCAAATACTCAATAGGATGACTGACAGACAAACACACCGTGTTCATCCCAGAAATCTTTTTTATCTCCTAATATATTAAATAGCCACAATGAGAATATAAAGACATATTAAAAAATGATCTTTCACCTAAGTACTTGACCCCTCAAAGCTTTTTGAGTGACAATTTTTTACCACTTAGAGATAGGTTTAAAGTCATCTGAAAGCAAGATTTCACAAAGCTGACTCAGTATAACAGTCAGGACGTATTGTATTTTATTTAATTGTATTTTATTATTGATACTGGATTATTTTACATACCTGGTCTACCAGCAGCTCCAGGAGGACCCTGTGGCCCTGCAAAAATCAATATATTAAGAACTTGAGTTAAAACACTTTAGACTCTTCAAAGCCACTATTCAATAACATGGACTACAAACTTCGATCCTCTGCATTTTAAGCTTGAAAGATAAAACAAGAATTTTGTTTTTTCCTGAGTAGAATTCTAATACTCATGCAGCTGTTCTAGTTTTGATGTCCCACTCACCAGGAATGCCACGTTGGCCTTTTGGTCCAGGAGGTCCTGGTGGTCCTTCATCTCCTTTTTCACCAACCACATAATCATAATACTCGGTCTTCAGAGAGAGATGGTAAGAAAGGGTTGCAAGAACAAAGAGTGAAGCACAGTCCCTCACACTGAACATTTGGTTAAAATAACGTTACGATTCCATTCATAACTCTGCCTAAAAACTAATCTAATGATTATAAAAGTCATTCCTATAAAAATTGATGCTTAATTTATTGAAGTTTAATATTACTATGATGTGTCAAAGTTTCCACAAATGATAACTAAAATCAAAAGGCAATTTGCTGTAACTGTTTGTTTTTTTTTTTATAAGGGTAAATTTTTGCTCTTTTCTGGATTATTTTGCATGGGCACCATTGCTGGCAAATCATTATTATAATAATGACTACGCCTTGATACGTAAACATCACACTGAAATTTAAACTGACTACTAATGCACAAATTTTCAAATGAATGAAAAACTGCTTAAAATTAAAATTTAAAATTTTTACTTTTTTCCTACAGATTTTTTGAAAAGCAGTGTTCTTGTGTTTGTTTTTTTTTTTCTTGTATTCTGTCAATATCACAAAAAAAAAATCAACTTTTTACAAAGCTGTTTCTTTTAAACCATTTGGGCAGAAGGTTTCCATTAGGTGCACGTGGGGCCTTTAGGAAAGTCACTAGGGAGACAGCCTGGCTAGACAGAGAAATCGTACTCATGGCAGCTCCTGCTGTCTTTAAAAAGCCTTTCTTTAAAATTATATGATGAAGAGAATTGGCACTTACTCGACCACAAGCTCCAGGTGGGCCAGGGTTTCCTTTCATCCCCTTCATCAAAGGACAGAGATGGATTTGTTTATTAAAAGCAATACATGGAATGGCATTTACCCACCGTTACTTCGGTCTGTTGTTCAGAACATTAAGGAGGAACTTCTGCTCCTGACCAGCCCTTCACCACCCCTCCTGTTCCTTGCACAGCTATTCAACCACATCCACCAAAAACCACATCCAAAAACCACAGGGGCTCAGCAGGCATAGATGGACACCAGCTCAAACACACAGCCCATTTCAGCTGAGCCATTTCATATTCCATGATATCATTACGTGTCATCTGCTAGGTCATGTTTCACTAAACATGTAGTATACACAGTGATAAATGAAATTATTTAATAACCCTCAAAACATAACTTCTCCTCACCCTCAGAAGCAATGACAAAACCAATAGATAATACCTTAGCTCCTTGCCTTCCAGCCAGTCCTGGTCTGCCCTGCTCACCCTTTTGTCCCTGCAGATGACAGCACACAATTTCAGGAGGATGAATCTTTCAGCACTGACATCAGCAAGATCTAAAATGTAAAGCTTTAATCTTTCATGGTGCTGGCGAGGTGGATGCCACTTGCTCAGGGGAAGAATTCTCAGTGAAAGCCCCAGTTTGAGTCACAGCTCAGTGTGTGTAGGAAATGCCACAGATCTCCCACTCAAATCTGCCACGAAATCTTTGCCATTCGAATCTTTGCCACGACAGAAAGTTTTCTTTCTGTGAACAGAGCTTTGGGGTCTGTGGCTCCCTGTGCTTTGTCAGACTGGAATGTGTTTAGACTGCCTGGGAAGGTCGTTTCAGCACGACAAAGATGTTTTAGCAGGATACACGTGAGATGGGCCGTTCTGGCAGGAAGAATGTTGATAAGATATTTGTAAGGTCACTGGGACTCTGATGATGTTGTGCAAGTCGAAGTGAAGTAAACAAAAGAATTTGATGTTTAAGCAACTTAATATAATATTTCAAATATATTTGAACAACTTCACCTTTTAAATTAAAACATAAACGAGATAAAACATGCCATTCTATAAGCAAAATTAAGAATTGTATGTTGACAAAACGACAGGCTAATATCTATTAGTCATCTTGTTTCAGACCAAGACAGCTGTGATCCTGACAATAACTTTTCTCTGTAAAACAATTTCTTTGATTCTAGTGGCTAAAAACTACTAATTTTTCTTCTCAATTTATATCAGAGGGAAGGTATAACTCTTCTGCAAAAATTTCAACATGACCAACCAGAATAAAACTCAGCAGAATTAATTTTGCCCAACTTGGAGCGCGTCTCAAACTCATTAGGCAGTCAGCAGCAAGCGACAGGTCTTTTGATTTAACACAGAAGAACCAACATCTATGAACTGAGCCTCTCTCTGAGGACGTGGCATGTTCCGTGGTGTGACAGGAAATGTTTCAGTGTATGCAAATGAGCATTTTCAAACACATTCTGCAGTGAGGAAAAGCTGTGACAGGAAGATACAGCAGTGACAAAATATTTAGAAGGTTTCCTTCATTACCGGTAAGCCAGGTGGACCTGGGGCACCTTCTTTTCCAGGTTTACCCTACAAAGGAAAAACATCAAGTAAAATTAAAAAAAAATAAATATATGAAACCTGGGGTCATTGCATTCAAAGGCCACAGCAATAGATGCTGTGCACATCACTATATGCTAGGTCTGTATACATTTTAAAAAGCCATTAAGATTATTTTTAAAGTGTTTATTGATCATAACTATTGATCAAAACAACAATAAGAAAAAAAGACAAAGGGAAAGGAGAGAAGGTGGAGAAATGGGGAGAGAAAGAGAATGAAATGAAAACACAACTCTGAATATGGATCCCCAGCTTGCCACCTTGAAGGCAGAAAAGAGGAAAACCTGGTTCATTAAAATCCACAGCAGGAAGACAGTGAAAAAATAAAAGGGGGGGAGAAGGGAGATGTTGAGCTCAGAACAACTGGGAAGAAAGAATAATTTAAATTTTTTTTTCCTCTCTACAGAGTTACAGCAAAAGATGTCAGAACTTAGCCAAAGATGGTAATAGAGAAGAGGTGAAGGGGAGCTGGAATGTCACCACCACAGGCTCAAAACTTGCTTGCACAAAATAGTATTTTTTTTTTCTGAATGTAAAATCTACAGGTATTTGATATTTTGTGCTCACTGATGTAATTCTCGTTTTAGAACAAGTCAGTCAGTGCCTTAACCACAATTTGTATTTCAGAACAGACTAAAATATGTGTATCCAATTGTTTGCACAAACCTCTGCTCCAGGCTCTCCTCGGTCACCCTTTTCACTCTGAGAATCACCAACTGGCCCCTGTAACAAAACCACACTCAAAATACTCATGTGTTGACTCCCATTTTCTAAATTAAATATCTATTTTTTTATTTTTTTTTAAATCTATAAAAACTATAAAGTACAATTAGAGTGCTGTTAATAGGTGTTCTATTCTATTCATTAGTTCTATTCTTGCCATTAAAGGTTGAAATAAGTGGTGTAAATACTGGATAGCATTGAGAGTACCAATAGTAGGTGATGCTGCCTGAACATCTGGATTTTAGGGATTTACTTCTGGTCACTTACTGCAAACCCCATTGGCCCTGGAAGTCCTCTCGATCCTTTTTCTCCTTTCTCTCCTTTCAAGTCCTGTTATGTAGAAAAGAACTTATTATGGTCTCTTGGGTTTTTCTGTGCTTACCATACACTTCAGTTTTACAAATGGGAAATCCTGATGTCACCAGCAAGCTTCTTTCAGCAGAGATGGTCCTACTTAAATGGCTAAGAAACAGAAACTTCTTATCAGTGCTCCTGACTGAATCTATGGTGTCTGAAAAAGAAACTGGTTCTGCACATACTTCAGAACAGAACAGGGCCAAAATAATCTGCTTGTGATTCTGTGCAAGGGGGACTGCAGTGACAGGGCTGGGAGATCCAACACAGCTGTGGCTTTAAGAGCCATTCAGAAATCCCACATCGATTTGGGGAAGCCAGAAGTAATTTACCGTCCGTGTGCTCCGAGACCCACAGCAGGTGGATCCACGGAGCATTCCAGCGGCATCGTGCAGGGGTGCACATGGACACCCAGCTGAGCTGGGCTACAGACACACTCTGGAAAGAGCTTAATACCTCATGAAACAAGCCTGCAAAATGTTAGTAAATGAAGATGAAAATGAAGATGAAAACGTCCTCTTGAGGTCAGACCTGGGGAGATGGTTCATCTGAATGCGAGAGGGAACAATTTTACTACCGTCATGTTGTCTGGTCCAGTCAGTGTCACAATGACAGTTCCTGGTGGTCCAGGGGGGCCGGTTAATCCAGTGTCACCCTAAAAAGAAGAAAGAAAAACAGAGTCATTAAAAGCAGTGTGGTTTTCCAGCATTTTCCAGCAAAAGACTTCCACATATGTGCTGAAAACTTTTATTTCACAGCTTCCCTAAACATTTTACCACAGCGTATCAGGAGGTGCAGAAAAACAGATACAAAACTTACAAACTGTTTTACGCTTTTAATGGAATTACCTTTCTTCCTTTGCTTCCTATTACTTTCAGTCCCATAAGACCCTGTAAAAAAAAAAAAAATCCCCACAAATTATTTTTTAAAAAAATTTAAAAGCACCTATAAAAAGGAGTTAATTGATGTTACACATAATAGAAAGTCTTCATTTTTATTACCAATCTGAGACTACCTTAGGTCCAGGAGGTCCTGCTTTCCCTGGCATGCCCTACAGAAAAGGAAAAAAATTATCCTTAATTAAAAAAAATAATCACAATTTTTAGCACTGATGTAGGTATTTTGAAGAACTCAGCTTCAAATTATGAATTATACCACTACTTTTATTTTTTCTTCCCCTTCTACAAGCACAAGTCATTGTCAGGGGGTGACAGACTGTTTATATAACCTAATGGCAAACATATACATCTCTCAAAGTTATATATATATATCAGTGTTTAAAGTGAATGAATGGGTAGTCCTTTATGAATCGAAATTTGTGCCTATGGAGACAAGGATGCCTCTGAAAATATAGAAATTATCAGGCATAAAAATAATGAAACTAAAACCAAGAAATCTGATGTGTGCAGAAGGACATGGATTTTACATCCACTCGTGTCAAGACCTCAGATAAGTCTGGGAGAGCCAGGCACTTGTATTTATGTAATTCCACAGGGTTTAGGGAAAATCAAAAATTAAAGTAACAAGCAAGATACAAGTCCATACTCACTGAAGGTCCTGGAGGGCCCTGTGGCCCAAGTTCCCCAGGATATCCTTGAGCCCCCTGGGCACCCTGCAAATTAAAAAAGAAACAGGAATAAATCTCTCAATCTGACTTCATTGGGGAATTTTAGCAGATGGACTAATGGCCATTATGGGTCCCTCCCAACTATTCTATTCTATTGGTAAACTCATAAATCTATACCCAGTTTGTCTCCATACATAAAGTTCTGTTTTTCTGCAACCTGACTGGCCCATCTCACTTTCCTAAAACATAATGTACACTGTGGGTTCTGATGGCAAAATTATTTACAGTTGCCTTGGTGTACTCTTTCTGTAAAGCCAGAAGAGAGACTTCTAATATATTCTATTGATCAGATTATATAAAGTTAATGTTTTAAGACACAGAATTGTTTTTTGTTTAGAAATCAGTGACATAATTGTAAAAAAAATACTGTATCTACATTAAATACAAAATACATTTAAATTATATAAAATACAACATCATTTTAATGCCTACTGATATTATTTATTTATATAATTATATATATATATATCTGTCTCATTGTCCTGATTTTGAGTTACCTGAAGTCCAGGCATTCCTGGCAGTCCAGGATCACCTTTTGCACCATACTCTTGGCTATATCCATCTGCAGGGGACCCCTGGACAATGAGATAAAAAGAAAGAGAAAAAGTTATGCTGTAGAACTCCAAAAGGAAACAAATCTTCTAATACAGTTTGTAGGGAAATAAGCAACATCAGAACTGCATAATGAAGGAAATTGTCCACTGTGGATAATCCTTTAAAAAAGATTTTATTAAACAAAATACACCCTTTTCAGTCCTTCCTAGCAATCTTCTTTCCAGATTTGCACAGACATGCACACAAATTGTTGATAACCAAGGAATACTTTGTGTAACACGATGCAAAAAACTGACCTTCTCTCCTTTGATGCCATCCACACCCTAGGAAGAAGAACAGTCAGATTAAAACAGAAAGTAGAAGAGACAGTGCTCAAAGGATATGCTAAATATTCTCTAGGCTTGGTACACTTCTAGTCATTGATTTCCATGAAGAAGGTGTAAGGTTGGGGTTATTGTGCCCCACTTCAGTTAAAGAAAGGGCATATATTCCATTTTTTTCCCCGTTTGTTTAGAAGTTTCTCTTAAAAACACATTTCTACAGAGAAAACCCCCAAATCTGATGGTTAAAGCAATGCATCCAGAAGGAGAAGTTCTGGGTTTAATTCATGATTCTTATTAGGTTGATTAAGCCATTTTTACCTCAAAGATATTTAGGCATGAACTGAAAGTGCAATGCTCTATGTATATTTTGGACACCTTTTAGAGATGAAAGTGGTAAATTGTCATGAATGCACACAATCATGAATTGCAGACACCTACTGGAACACCTGGAGCACCTCTTCTACCTGGCAGACCTGGAAATCCTTGGTCACCCTGAAAGCAGTAACAGTGATTGTTAATGAATGTTATTGTGTGATTATAAAGGAAGTTTTTTAGGTTATCCCACTAAAACTGTGAGTGCATTAGCACCAAATTTAACCATTGGATGGGCCTCGAGTTCTGCCCCAGATACCAGGCTTTATCAGCTTAGTTCACTGTTAAACTAGAAATGTGTGATTTTCTGTAGCAGGTATTATTTTAACTCCCTTTTTCAGAATACCTGAAGCATTTGCTCATAGGCCAAAGAAAACCTAGTAAATCTGTAACTTAACATTGTGCCTTCTAATTACTTTCAGGACTTATGATTTGTCAACTGCAAGCTAGGTACTGGAGCAATAAAATAATTAACTATCTCTCCTATAACCCATTGCAACAGAAGGACATGCTGGATAAAACTTATTGGGCCTTCTGGATTGAATGAATGAAGTTTATCTGTCAAAATATCGAACATTATTCTAAATTTTTAGCAAATTTTATTTCTCTATCTTGCTCAAAAAGGCAGCATTTTTCCTTTCTCTGGCCTCATGGTTCCAGCTTTTTCCGACTGATAAAGTCACAAACCAAAACAAACCAAAGATTGGGGGGTGGGGGAGGGGGGGGGAGGTGGTGGTGGAATTTAGAGGACTTTTGGCCATTCCCAAGCACAGTCAGTCAATCTCCAGAACATCCAGCTGGGTTTGTACCTTGGTGCCGTTGCATCCTGGAACCCCCGGGCGCCCGGGGGGCCCAACAGACCCCGGTTCACCCTAAAAAGAGAGGCACAAAATCGACACAGGCTTTGGCTTTTGCACATTCAGATTGCCCTGCAGAAACACTGAACAGTTTATGTTGGAGCAGTGTTTCACAAGACTTGACAGATTACAGTGTGTTCTTAAATCGTTGCAGCGAGTAAGAATTGCTGACGCCAAGATTTTTATCTCTAGGCCAATTGACAGAGGCAAAGTTGATGTTGGGACTGCACTGAGCACATTGAGCTGAGGATAATTGGGCACTGAAGGCTGGAGCAAGAGACAAGTGGTTAAATTGGTTTCGTTTTTACTTACTGGAAGGCCTGGAGGACCTGAAAATCCGGGTATTCCTGGGAGTCCCTGATGATATAAAACCACAGGAATAATATTACAAATATTAACAGAAGCTCATGATGCAGTTTTTTCTTTGATCATGGTCGTAAGAAGATGATTCTATCAAAAGCTCATTATTTCCTTAACTCCTCTGCCTGTGAACCAAGCAGAATGGCAGCTTGCACACTGTTAACATAGACTGGGTTTACCCACAGAAAAAACAACAAACAAACAAACAAAACAAAACAAAACAACCCAAACCACACACCCCCCCCCAAAAGAAACCCAAAAAACCCACAAAAAACCAACCAACCAAATAAACAAAAAAAAACCCAAACAAAAACCAAAACAAAACCCAACAAAAACCATCAAAAACCCCCAAAACAAACAAACAAAAATACACCTCTCCATGGAATTCTAGTCTGACTTTTTCATAGCACTCCCAATATGAAATACACACAGCATGAACCTGCAAAAAGTCTGGCAAAAAAAAGCGAAAGTTCTAAAAATAAATTATGTGTGTGCACACACCGTGTCACAGATTTTAACCACGCTCTAAGAACATATATAATGTTTTACTTTTATTTTCACATATTACTGAACCGAGTTGGAATTTAACGCAACATTTAAAACATACAAGTTTGTTTAAAATATAAACACTTACTCGTATACCTTTGGGTCCAACTAAGCCTGTAAGCCCTGGGGAACCCTGGATCACAAATGGAAAAAAAATGTATCTCAATACAAATGAGAAAAAGCACAAATATGTCAATAGGTCACCCAGTATTTTTAATCTCAATACCAACATGTGCACACAAAACTAACTATGTAGATAAATAAATGATTTGCCTGTTACAGACACTAAAGCAAACAACTGTTTAATACAACTTGCTTAATACAACTTGTTTAATACAACTGTTTAAGAAATCTTGGTGTCCTGCCCTCCCTTTCAGGGCTTGAAGAGGATCATGGAATCATAGACGAGTCAAGTTGGAAGAGATCTTAAAGACCATCGAGTTCCAACCTCCCTCCCAGGGGCAGTGACTCCTTGCACTAGACCAGGATGCTCAAAGCCTCATCACATCATATTTGCACAGAAATAATTGATTCACCACAGTCAAGTTATTAACAACAGCAAGATTACTGTTCCTCAAGACAAATACACATTAAATGTTTTAATGCACAATTTATTTAATGTTGGGGGTTTTTTTCTACTTATGCAGGAGTCTTTCATATTCAGCCTTAGTTTAGGCATACAGGAAAGAAAGCAAGCTCAGGTCACTGGAGCCACTCTCTCCATACTGCAGGCAACCAGGTATTCCCTAAACACACCAAGATTTACCTTAAAAACCACCTTTCCCTTCAAATTTTCTTAAACCTGTTTTTCATATTTGTCTCCAATTTTTTTCCCCAATGCATGTCAAAATGTTAATAGATGTTAAGACAAGAGTTGAGGCTGTGCTGCAAAAATCTGTTCAGGTCCATGTTTGTTGCCATTCAGAGCTTCAGCACTGGCCACAACTGATAACAAAAGCCCACATCAGCTACTCGGGCTCAATCTAAAATTACCATCGTAGCTGGTGAACAAATAACATCCCTCACCAAATGAAAACTGTGAAACAGGTTTTGGTTTGGTTTCGGTTTTTAAAACAGAACAAATACCCACCTTTGGCCCCTGTGGCCCTGGAGGCCCTTCTGGACCAGGAAAGCCTCTTTGACCAGGTGGACCTGGAACACCAGGAAAGCCTTTTTCACCCTGTAAAAACAATAAGAGAATAAAGTTCTTAAAAAATCCACAAATTCCCCTTCCAGTACCCCTTAACTCTCTGCCACTGTGGCAGATGTGTTACTCTTGCCCACACTGCCTTGTGTTTGTGCCCCACCCATGAGCTGCCACGATGGCACCACTGAAGGAGGTAAAGTGGTCCCAAGTATGGCTGGAACCCTCAGAACATACAACACTCCAAATTTTGCAGAGTGCAGAAGCCAGCTGACAGCATGAAAAGTTGAAGGAAGCAGCTGATACACATTCCCAGTCAATATTCCTACATCATGCTTAGCAACACAGATCCAAATCCATCACAGCAGCCCTAATTTGTAGTCAGCAAACTCGATGGCTGCTGCTCCACAGCCAGGTCAGCTCCAATCCACACCACCTCTCCTCATGCAAGCCAAGGAAGAAAGCAGCGGGGAGGACAAATGCAACAAAACCATTCAGACAGAACGAAAATAAACACACAAACAGAATAAAGGAGGCTAAGCTCCAGTGGAAGGTGCATTTTCAGTTCTTAGTCAAATTTAAGGAAGATGCAAGCCTTATCTTGGTTTCAGTAAAATGCTTCAAGCCTAGAGGCTCACAGAAAAGGTGTTTCAGCTCTTCAGACAGCAGCAATTTAGCATGTCCAATCTGACATCAGTGCAGAGCTGCCTATTCAAGGCCTTTTAGATCACAGTATGATGTGGGAGAGAGAGGATGTGGTTATCTCAGAGTCTATTTTCCTTCTGCTTTATATGCAGTTTTACAAAGAAAACACCTGAAATTCTGCTGTGCAGAAGTTTGAGTGTCTTATTTGACGTACAAGGCAGGATCCAAAAGGCATCTCCAGGAAATTCTTTGGTTTGTCCCTCCACAAATTCTCACTCCTCAAAATCCCACAACCTAAACAGATTTTAAATAGCTTCTGAATTAGAATAAAATACAAATGTATCTGAAGATAGAAGACAATCCCAGAATAACTTAAGGCAAATTAATATACGAATTGCATAATGAAGCGATGGTGAGATCTGTATCACAAATCAGCGTAGCTTTTTACAACAAATAGTTTATTTCATCCACCGGCTCCCAAGACAAAAGGAGTAACGCTATCCCAGGATGTGCCGCTGGAGGGGGCGCGGGACCAGCTCCCAGGAAAAACAAAGTCCTGGAGCTGCCTGTCCTCTTCTGACACCCTCACTCCCCTCTATACACCCGCACCTTCTTCTCCACAGATCAGCAAGAACAGGAGATTTTCAGGTTGGAGAATTTCTTAATTGATTAACGCCATCGTTCTGATTTTCTAAAGCTGCATGGAAATCCTGATCAGTGCAAACAGTGATTCACTCCTCCCTAAAAAATGCTCAGTGGTTTAACATGGAACTGATGAAGACAAGTTGTGGGTGTTCATTCTTACTGATATTTCTCTGTTATTGGGCAGCTTATTTTTTTTTTTTGTTGTTGTTTTTCAGGTGCTCTCAACTCCACTGGTTAGAAAAAAGTCAGGTTAGACCAACTAAGAAGATTAAAACTAAACATGCAGATTTTACCGAAAATATTCGTATTCTCCTTTCCCACTTATGAAAATATATTTAATAACGAACGTATTTACTTTGAGAGAAGTTTTCTCCCACACCCAGATGAAGCTTCCTAAAAGCAAGACTAGCAGTGGTTTTTTCTGTGGTGCAATATGACATTTTTCCTTGGTAAAAGAAGTACAGGAGGAAAGTCGTGTGTAAATTCTTTACCAGCCAGATGTGCCAACCAGTGGGACTAATCACAACCCTAAATCTTCGGAGATGCCTGGAATCTGTTGCTAAGGCTTAGTATGGCAATCTCTGTGTTCAGGGTTAGCCCGAATTACAACCATGACTCCTTCAATAATGCCCCTTTCATCTGGGAATCGGTTGTTTTTCCAACTGCAAGCGGGAGTTTCAAAGAATTCTTGGCATTTGTGTCATTCAGGTTTGTCTAAAAGCCACTCAGAGCCTCTGCCAAGCTGCTCCTGGCAACGGGCAGAGCCAGGATCTGTTCCTGCTGATGGATTCGAGGCTGTTCCTTCAGTGCTGGCAAGGTGTCTGGGGTTAGGACCCAGGAACTCATCCCCTGCCTTGATCTACAGGAGATTTACCTGTTTGGTGCCAGTGCCTGCAGCTTTCCTTCAGGAACTGGAAAAGGGAGAGTGGACAGGGTCCAGAGATGGAAAGAGGGAAGCACTGAACATGGGAGTGTGAAATTTAGAACAGGAGAGCTGCTGCCAGGGAAACGGAGCTGTGGGCACTGGTTAGGAGTGTGTGAAAGGCATCTGCTGCTTCAGGCAGTGGTTCTGTTGGTGTTCAGACTTCATGCAGTGTTGTAAACACACTAAATTCACTCACTGCACCAACTGAGCTAATGTATTAACAATTTCCAGGTAGGTAAGCTGATTTTAAAGAGGGCAAATGTGGTTGTTCTTACCTTGCTACCTTTGGTGCTGTCACAGAAGCAGGGGCTTTTACCTTTGCACACACAGCTCTGAAAAACAAAAAGAAAAACCTTGTGACAAAATGATTTCCCATTGCGTCGTTTGATGAGGGGCAAATGAAATCTCAGTGGTTTTAGTAAGGTAATTATGCCACAGGTAATACAACGTGAAAAAAAATGTCTGTGAAGTGGCAATTCCCAACGGTGGAAAGGAGCTCTTTATTCCTCTATACTGTATTTTAAGATTAAAAAAGGCAGTAGTTTCATTTTATAGTTGGGGTAAAGGCCAAGAAGCCATGCTTGGTAATAAGAATAATGTAATAACACTAATAAGAGCATGAAATGTAAAATTCAAGACCTTGGGCTGATAACAGTAAACATAGATGATTGGATGATTCTTTAAAAAATTCACTACAGAAATGAACACAGATATTGCTTTTTTTTTTTTTTTTTTTAGATTACAATTCTATTCATTTTATCCTCCTCTATTCCTGAGCTGAGCTGTGTGACAATGAGTGCCAAAACATTATCGTGGTTATTAAAGTCATGATTCTTACAGAGATGGGGAGTAGACTACATATACTGTCCTACTTTGTACATTTAAATTCTTTCATTTGTTTTTGAAGCTCTTGCTTAAGGACTTCTTCTATTGGAACACTGTAGCAAGAGGGTAATTTTTCAGTTTATCCCCCCACTTCAGTAAATATTTTTATCATGATATACTATGCAGTTGTACCATAGACTAGGATATATATAATATGTTATAGTTACAGACAATAGGAATTGGATAACTATCCCACATTGGTTATGAAGATATTTTTCTAAATTGCATAAACTTCAGAAAATAAGGAAGAGCTGTATTTTTTCTTAGAAGATGAAAGATGGTATGATATGACATTTCTATTTAGGTCTTGCAGGCAGAATTAATTCACCCCTACAGCTGGTCAGATTACACCAGTCACACCGATTCAAATTTGTAACTTTTTCAGCGGTGTTCTCAAAAAACAGAAAAAAAAAAGAAAAAGCAGAGAAAAAAAAGGTACTCCACCACATTTTAAAATTATAATGTCAGATTGTAATTAAATTTAAACTCTCCTGTAACAGTCTATTCAGGAAAATATTTTACAGAATTGAAAAGCCTCTTTTCTTCCCTCCAGCAAGAGCAATTTTTTCTGTTGTTACCATTCCAAACTGAGGGGGGTGGTGTCACTGGCACACTCCATGGGCTTTCTTTTAGGATGGGGGAAAGATGCTGCAAGCAGTTGCTGTTCTCTGGGGACTTGAAAACCCTTTATAGTTGCTGCTTGTTTTTAGGTGAGATGATTTAAGAACAGGTGCAGGGAGCATTCCTCAGGGAGCAGCTATTTAAACACTCATTTACCAAATAAAGCAGAAATTGAAATCAGCTGGCCATGAAAAGCAGATTCCCCCCCAAAAACTGTGTCTGCCTGTGTTCTAGAGACAGATCAATAGGTAATCTTCATGTTTCGAGCTGGATTTTCCAAGAGTTGCAAACATTAAATACTTAATTCTTAAAGAAGACACACTCTTCCCCTGATCTGATTCAAGTGGTACTGCATCAGAAATTTGGAAAACAAAGGTGTCATGCAGGACAGAAACCATCCAGCTGTGCTACCTTTACTATTACGTTAATCAACATGATTATATCACCAGAGACACGAGAATAAACAGCGGTGCAGAATTAACAACAAACAGTATCCTGATTGCTTCTGGTTGAGGTCAGTCAGTTTGGTATTGGATAATCTAAATTCACCAAGCCAGTTATATGACAATTCACCAAGCCAGTTAAAGACAATCCAGTGGGAAATTAAATGCATGAACATGTAGAAACTTCTGGTGCTACACAAGTAATCAAGGTTAATAAGCCATGCAAAGAAAGAGCATTTGCTCTTCAAGAAGTCAGAAGGCTTAGAATGTGTTTAATTTGCCATCAGTAAGCTTTCAGATCCATTCAGGTCTTTTTGTGTACACATATCACTTTAAGCTAAAGTGAAAAGACCAAAGATGATTTTACATTGCACAGTCAGTTAGTTGGATAATACTAAATGTTTTGGCATATGATTTTTTTTACGTAAGATTGGATTATGCCTTCTGTTAAAGAGCTCTGAACCACAAAATCATTGCTCATTTATACTGCTGGATGGTTCCACATCCTTGCAAGATGCCTGAAGCTCCTTTAACAAAGGATCATCTCAAAATGACAGGGTGTTGCCAGGTTATAAAAGAAGGATATTGAATATTAGTTATTAATGGTTTATTCAAAGCTCTCACAGTAACATCTACGTAAGTAAGTACGGACAAAGCCACAGGTTATTTGTTTTGTGATTTTCATAATATTAATCTATGTTTCTTTCACATGTTTAGATATGGAAGATGGCACTAGATTTTTGATCCAAAACTTATGCAAGAGGATAAAGCCAGGTCATTGTATGAACACCAAATCAAATCAATTCACCAATGAACCAAAATTTAAAAACCACAGCACTTTCTTGGAGTAATTTATAGAGGAGCTCTTCTCAAAAGTGTTTTCAGTGATACTTACAGTATTACATGAATAATTACAGTTGTACACACTGAAGAACATTTACTGCACTGGTTGATGTTTTGCTCAGTGGGTGCAACCTTATCTATAGCACTGAACTGCCCTTCCTACATCATGGGATTGGATTCTGTGGGGCTCTGACATCTTCCTGGCCCCTGTTCATAGACTAACTTAACCATCTGCTTAAAAGTGTTCCAGGCCTCTCCTTCCCAGAACTCCCCAAAGAAATGGCAAAAAACAAAGAAGGAAGAAATAACATACTACAGACTGTGTTGTCACCTGTAGAAAGCTTAGTGCACGTTCAGCAGGGCACTGCCACTGCTGCCACTGCTGCCACTGCTGCCACTGCTGCCACTGCTGCCACTGCAGCCACAGCAACTTCACCTGGAGCCTCAGAGAGAATCCTGCCCAGCCTGAAATCCATCACCAGCACAGGCTTTGAGTCCTGTCACTCACTCTGGGGTGGCAACACAGTCAGACTGGGAATGGTTTGAAGGCAGGAAGATGGAGAGCAAAATGAGCCAGTGAGGGTGATGAGCCAGTATTTGTCTGGGGATCTCTTTTTGAAATGACATATATGATGACAAAACAGAGTATTTATTTGTATTTCCAGATCTAGAGAGGACTGGAGTACCTTAGTTATTATTTCAAAATACATATTTGTATTAAAAATACTAAACCCAGGCCAGAGAGGCAGCAAAGTGTGTTGCTGCAGGAAATAAGCCCCATACTGTTTAAGGATGAATTAATAAAGACATTCAGATGAAAGCTGAGATGATATTAAATGTGTGCTGTAGGAATACAGTGATGTGGCTGCACCGAGGCTGAAGTTTACGCTTTTGCCCTGATTGGTCTTTAATTTCATGGGCAAACTCCACCGATGCCCAAAGTAAATTCTGGTTCACATAAATGACAGATGACTGTGCAGCATGAGGCATTCTAAAATGAATTAAAAGCTGTGCAAGTGATATCCATTAATTACTCTGGACAGTAAAAATAGCCCAGGTGTCTTCTGTCAAGTGGGTCGCTTTCCCTCACTGGCTGCTCTAACTACTGCCCAGGATGATTTTTAAAAAGGCAAGCCTGGTTTTGCATTTCAGCTGGATACTTATTAGCATCTCACCTATCCTGCCTTGAGGTCTTTATCTTCTAACATCCAGGATGACTAAATTAGAACTCCATCTATATATGCAACAAGACTTACTGGACAATATCAATTTTTCTGCGATGCCACTTTTGTCTCTTTTCCATCTCTCTGCTCAGTAACGGTATCCTGAGCAGCCCACAAACAAACAGGCCATCTCAGAAGTAAATTATCAGCTAATTTCCAGTCTTATGTAATCTCTCTTAAGTTCCAATACTTATTAAAAATTATGTATCGGTGAGCCAGCTCCTTTAAGAGTCTTGCTTATGAATTTCCAAGGGCTGCTGACACACTGAGATTTCCGAATTCTTCCTGAGCTGCCTCAGTGCAGAGCAATCACTTTACACATCCCAGCTGCATCTATAAATCACAGCTGAGCACATGGAACAATCCTGCCCAAACAGTTGATGTTAATACAGTGCTTAAAACTACAAAAGGCCCATTTCCATCATGTTCTCTGCTACAGGTTTTCAATTCCAGCGAATAAAAGTGGGTGTAACACATTATGATTGCAGCCAGTGGAGAGTTTTGCTTTAATATTTATCCACACTCCAGGCTTGTGTAGATGTGCTGCACAGAGGTGTTAAGGGCTGCACTTTGTGAAGGACACTATGCTGATAGCTAAAGTTTCCAGCTTGGACACAGTTATAGTTTTGAAAATTTACCCTTCCCTGTTCAAGCAGAAGTTTTGAGAGCACTGTGAAAAAAAGGCCATATAAGGAAAATCTTTTTTTTTTTTTTTCTGATGCACCTGTGCTAGGATACTTAGCTAGACTAGCACAGTCAGTAATTCTAGCTAGACATGGTTGGTAGATACGTGACCCTGGCAGCATATCCCTCACGTTGCACAACTGCAAATCACCAAGGTACTGGAGAATGAGGTCCCCTCACTCCAAAATATTGCCTATCAAAACAAAATACCAGTCTCACAATTACAATCTGTATACTGAAAGTTTTTCATGCATTCTAAGCATCAGACATGAATTCATTTAAATTATCAAAGACCACGAAGAACTTTGTGTTTTTATAGCGATTGCCGGACCGGTACAACAAAACCAAATTATTAAGCCTTCAATAAGTATGGACAACGTAGGGCAGAAATAGGAGGTGATGAGATGAAGGAAAATATGTCAGTTCCTAAAGCCTGAAACATTGTTTAGTGATTTGTGAACTGGAAGGCAGCCAGACATTCCTACCTTAGGAGACTCCTGTTAACAGCCATGAACGCTCTCAGAACTCACAGCATTTCGCCCACCAGTTCAACACCCAGCAACCAACAAAAATGATTTCATTTGGACGTCCCACTGTGAAGGAATACACCTTTAACTTAACTAATAAACAGCT